GCAGGACTCACTCTCCTTCGGGCAGCACGTAGCAGTTGGTTTGCCCGTACATGGTCTCGGGCCTGAGAGTGGCTGCCACGAGGAAGATCTGCTTTGCTGCAGCAGGGCAGTTCGCGTGCTGCTGCCACTGCTGCAGCAGCAGCGCGTGGGGCTCGAAGCCAACGTCCACTTCTTCTGTCTTCACTCGCAACTTTACTACGGTGTACTCCTGGGGCCCCACACCTTCGCCAGCCATGCGGTCGTGGTCAGCGCAGGCCTGCAGCTCCCGCCGGCCAATCACTGTGGGGCGCGTCCCAAACGATATCTTCCCCGCAGCCTGCAGCAGCAGCAGCAGCAGCAGCAGCAGCAGCAGCGGCAGCAGCGGCAGCAGCAGCAGCAGCAGTTGAGGCAGGGCTGAGCAAGGGCTGGCGCAGAGATAGGATGCATGCAGCCAATCGCGCAGCACGAGATAAACAGCAGCCGGCGAAGCGGCCCTCACACTCCCGGAGGAGCCGCTGAGATGACAGGATTAGGGTTTAGGGTTTAGGGTTTAGCGTTTGGCCCACCAGAAGCTTAAGGAACTGCCAGCGGACAAAAGCTGCATAATAAGGGTTTCTGTCGGTGGTTATAAAGCAGCGCCGCCAATCCACTGCAGTGCCCAGGCGCACCAAGTCTCGCTTGCATCTGCGTGGGCATTCCAGCGCAAAACCCTAAACCCTAAACCCTAGACCTTAAACCCTAAACCCTAAACACTACACAAATGAATAGAAAGGCCCAGACAAGCCTGGAGATTCTGTGAGCAGCAACCACGACTCAAGCCTGCAACCAGAATCTGCAGCTTGAACCCTAAAATCTAACATGTGCGCGTCCTGAACCCTAAACCCTAAACCCTAAACCCTCACCTAGGCGGGAAGTAGTCTAGCCAGTAATTTGCGTCCGCAAAGCAAGCGATTTTGTCCTCAGGGATGCCAAGGGAAGCCATGATCTCCCACTGGGTTTTCTGCGTGCGCAAACCCTAAACCCTAAACCCTAAACCCTAAACCCCTAACCCTTGGCACTCTAACCTGGGTCTTTATGCACAAAGTCTGAACACGAATTATTAGAATCCAGAAGTGGTAAACGCATGCATGCGGCGAGCTTCAACAGGAAGGCAGGGACGGAAAATTCAGGGTTTAGGGTTTAGGGTTTAGGGCCTCACCAAACCTCCGGTCTTCGCCACGAGCTTGGACTTGGCACTGGTGAACTTTGTGGGGTCCGAAGGCCCCTGTTCCTCCTGAACATAAATGTGCAGTAGGCCGCAGGCCTCAAAGCCCTAAACCCTACACCCTAGACCCTAAACCCTAAACCCTCAAGGGTGGGCTGGGTCCTCTGTCGACGCAGAGGGATTAGAAAAGGGTTTAGGGTTTACGGTGAATGCACCTCTGCAGTCGCCTTCTTATCCTGCAGCTCTTGCTTCTTTTTCATTTCGATTTCTCTCTTGAGTTTGTCCGCGCATGCAAGAATTGGCATTCCCGTACAATGCAGCGCAAAAGGCCACAAGACATTTTTCCCTCTTAGCCGGAAATAACGAGCTGGGAACTCCGCGCGACATAAGGTGTAGCCGTGGCCCAGGTGCAGCAGCCCATTCATGTATGGGTACGGAAACGTGCAGAAAAACTTGTTCTTGACGAGGGGGCCCCCCGGGGCCCCTGTGGCCGCGGGGCCCCCTGGGGCCCCCGAGGCAGGCACGAACTCCGGACGCTTTAGCCTACCCACTTCAACCTCGTAGGGCTTTTCCTGCGCCCACAGCTTCTGAACGTCTTCTTCTATTTGCAGCAACTGATCGCGCCGCACGAAGGAACCCCCCGCTGAGGGGGCTCCAGCAGCCCCTGTGGCCCCGGGCTTGTCCTCTGAAGAGGTGGGAGGAGCCATTTCGCATGCAGAGGTACAGACGGGAGAGGAAACCTACAAATTGGCAGTTGCAGATGCAGCAGCGGCCGCTCCCAAGACTGCCTACGGCGAAAGGCCTCTTCCGGCAGCAGTTGCAACCTTGGGAAAGGACAAAAAACAGATATAATTCAAACACATTTAATTCGACCGGTTATATGCCGCACATACCTTGATTCGGCGGGGCTGTGATGGTGAGGACCAGAAGGCAGCGCATGCAGCTGTGGGGTTTGATCGGCTGCGCAAGGCTTGTCTCCCGGTTTTATTTAATTTTTATTCTTTTTTACAGGTTTTTTGTTTAATTTGAATACATTTTAGCTGTTGTTGCTCAATTTTCCCTATCCTCACTCTATTTATTCTTCTGGGTAGGCGCTGGGCGTCGGCACCTCCATTCCGATTCCGTTGGCTCGAAAGTTATGTTGAACTAAAGGTAAATTAATCCTCAGGAATTTTCATTAAAATTAATTTTGCTTCCTTCTTATTATGTCCGGCGAAGCGTATACGCGTACCGTTAAGACATTTCCATTCCACAATATCGCCGAGATTGCTGATCTGCATATTTTCCGTGCACACATGCAGGCTTCCAAGGATGTCTCTTTTGTTTTCCTTTCTGTGCAAAAATACCCCGTTTGAACCAATTTTAGACTGTTTTCATGTGGAAGATTCCCACATCCCCATACAAAGATATCTCCAAGCACACGGAACTTTTCGAATGCTTTGTTCTAGTACAACCAAATCCAAACATACTTCCTCAATTGCTTTATCTCCTGCGCTCAGCTGGAAGCTCCAAAGTTACTAAAAAACAGCGATGTTCCAGTGTTGAGCAGTGCTGTGCTTCGATGCAACTCGAAAAAGCAGCATGCTGGCATGCCCAATTCATGGTAAACGTGATGTAGGATGGGTACAAGGAACAAAGAGCGATTGTCTTTAGTAATTAATGTTGAGTTTGGTATAGAAGTACAACAAACATTTTACTGTGTGGGACGTGCGGAATGAGACAGTAGACGGAACAGAAGCAAACGAAAGAAATGCAGCGAATGTCTCAAAGGGGGCACTTGAAGAGTCTGACAAGCGCTACCGGGTCTTGAATACTGCATCAGTCGATCTTCGCCATTGGTTAAATGTAAAACAAACCTTCCTAGAACAAATGCGATGATGTCTTGCTAAATGGGCCAAAAAAGGGCGAGAAAACACGAAACAGTGGGCTTTATGGACGTAGTAAATCTGTCGTCCTGCATTTTCACTAGCCACCAAGGGCTCGAACAAATTCCGCACATTTAAAAAAGTCCGGGACTGTCGATTCCAGTCTTCACTGAAGCCTTCCCAAACACTTTTCAGCCCAGGATCGATTTGCACATGTTTTTGCCAGCTGGATCATCTTTTGCCCGCCAGCATGTTCCAGTACGGACTCCCCGCATTTCCTCGAAGGCACCAGCTTGTAAGGGTGGTTTCTGGTCCATACATTGCAGCTCCGAACGATCAATATGCGTTGAAGACACACTGACGGGCATGGATTCAGCATTCAGTAGGCAGTTGCATGGCACTATACAGGGTCGCATTGCCTCTTTGCCCCGAGGCACCAGCCGGAACCAAGTTATTCAAGAAGCCCTCAAAAGTAAGCAATAAAAGCTCTAAAGCAAGGGTACGCGAATGGTAATGAGGCAGACCGACGGAAAACAATGGGGGATGGGACTGCTGGACCCAGAGCTCTCTCACCGAACTTCGCAGTACTGCTAGCTCAAAACCCAGTAGCGGGCAGCAGTTTGAACAAGAGTTACGAACAGAGAAATAGGGGGTGTGAAGCTGCCCAAGCTTCTGAACGTGGCGTGAAGGATTTACTTGGTTTCATAACCTAGAGGCTCGTAACCCGTCATCACGGTGAGCCTGTCAGGAAAGCGAGTATATTTCAATGATATCATCCACCGCAAACGCCCATCATCATCCGAAAAGTGCGCTCACTTGATCGACGAGCAAGTAGGTTTACCTAAGAATATTTTCTAGCTAGTAATATCGCCCTAATGGTGAGAAATGCGTCGCCTACCCTGTAAAACAGCCAGCCTACGCCCAAACAGATGCTTCCACTGGGGGTCCTTCACGTCGAGTATCGAGGCATCATGTAGAGGTGAGGATTTATTCAAAAACTACTCGAAAGATGGCACAAAATTTGTCTAGTAATGATGTACCGTGGGGGAGTGGAACCTCTGTTGACGCTCGCTCATTGAAGGCTCCAGTGTTGGACTACACGTAGGAGTCTCGCTCACTTCTAACAAACTACACTGATCATATAAATTCACTATGCTCACATGTTTGTCATACCAGTTCCTAATAACGCCTTGAAATGTAATGTTTGTTGGGTTTGCTGGCAGGCGGCACATTGACATAACACAAGCATGGCACTGCAAGATGCTGCAACCGCGCAGGATGCTGAGAAATCTAGCATTAATGTTGCTAGAGATGGCTTAAATGAAGTAAAAACGCTAAAATGCACATTATGCTTTGTATTATTACGGAGAACACGAAGTTACGCGACAGGCTAAGGCCGGTCCGCTAGTTTGTCCTGTTTCAGATCCCCAGTGACTGGCGTGTGGCACCAGATGTGCAGTCGTTCCTGGGGTCACACATTGCTTACCTCACCCAGAATACTTCTCGGGCAGAAGAAAACTAAAAGAGAGGTTAACAGAAACATGCCCCACATAACGTGGCACAATTAGGTTATTTTGGAGTTCGCAGCCCGGAATGTGGGGAAGGGACAGATAAACAAACACACACATCACAAGGAGCATGTAGTAGCTAACTCAGTGATCGCTAGCTTCAGCAAATCACAGGAAGCCTAAGCTGTTAACTCTTCACATTTTCCGTTGAAATTACATAAATTTAAATTCTTAGGCAGACAGATTAGCTCATCGTACACCAAGTCGTGCAACAGCACCGTTCACTGGCTGGCAGCTGGAATTGTCACCTTGAGTAGCACTTAGTTCCCCATTGCACGTGTGCACTCGTTCCCTGAGGTTTGCACGTTTTTTTCTGTCATTTGCCGGCCTGTGTGTGGCCCATTTTGTCCTTGTTGACCCTTTTGGTCCCTGTATTTTCCCCCAATGCCTCAATTTGGCTTCTTGACGTGCTGCGCTGGGCTCCTCGCCGCAGCAGCGGCGTCCAGCTATTCGGGAGCAGTCCCCATTCGCTCTGTCACTGCTAGCCCGCACCGCAGGAACCTGGACACACAGCAGCCTTCCTTCGTCCAAGAGGCCACCCCGCCTACGGCCCAAGACAAAACTGACGGTAAATGGGGAATGTGACTTGATGGTCAATGACACATGTGCTAGCCTTGACTACGACGTTTCTTACGGACACTCTCGAGCTTATGCATGCCGTCAGATTCCACATATGCAATGCTGTCATAACGTAAATGCCATGGAGGTAGCTGACCGAAACGAAAACGACAGTAGAGTAAACTGTGTCGGAAAATTATTTCTGCCCAGTCCAAACACGAAGCAGCACCACTTTAGACAAGGGTGTTTGATGACGAACATTCACTAGTTTCTGCAGACAGCTCTATCTACTAGCTGAAACATGGAATGTGCTTTCGCCCTATTCAGCGTGCCTACCCATTCTGGATGCCCTGCGGACGGAAGGTCTCAATGGGCAGTTGGCTAAACTCACTAAAGCGAGCGACGATGATGTCAATGGAAGCCTTTCAGCTTTACAGAAGAGTGGTAAAACTAAAGTCATTGAAATCGCAGCAGAACTTGCAGGGTCCGACAAAACTTCATGTGATGGAGCAGCTATCGCGGACTCAGAGGTATGACTTTTGGCGCCACACCTTTGATATGCAATATTCAAGAAAGCCCCCCGCATTGTAATTCATCTCTTGCGCACTTTCACGTGGTAGTACTAAGCATGTGCCTACCGCACGAGCGAGGTGATTTTAATTCCGCTATGCAGGCATGTGCCATATGGCTAATGATGTTTTTACTTGTTCGCAGTATCCTGGACTTGTAATTCCTTTTGATCACTCAACGGAATTCGACTGCGAGGCTCTGATTGATGAGTCATTCTATGCAGGCCTGAGCCATCTCCAAGAGTCCGTTTGCTTGATTCTTCTCATCTTACACAGGCACATCACTTTTTTGAAATATCCACTGAAGCCTAAGCTCTAGCCACGCATCTCCATGGGTCCATGAACAATGACGCACAATTACATGCATTTTATGTTGCTCCTTACTTACCGTGCAACGATGTCGGCATGCCGTGTCTCTGTCGTAATCGCTTCGGCTGTTTCAGCGAGCTTTCCTACTGAGTCCGACGATCTGATCATTGCCAGCTCTTTGCCAGCTCTTTTGTGCAGGAAAAACTACGACCCGTCGGCTGAAAGTTCCAAACTGGGAGACGCCCCGCTGGACAATCTAGCAGCACAAAATTTTGCAGCCATACTTTCCTATGAAGCGGAAAAAGTGGCGTGTGCCGCCACCACTGACTGCGCAGCCGGTAATAATGTTTTGTTTTGCTATTTCATACCTCCATTGAAAAAGGGAACAGCAAAGCCAATCAAGTGAGCTTTCCAACACTGAAGGACCGCAATGCGTGTCTGCTGTCACCGAGGAAATTCGAACTAATTAACGGCCTTCCAGTTTTCCATCTATCGGAACCAGACATAGACAGAAAAGAGCAGACTCTAACGCCAAGCACTGCTTATTACTTTTTGCAGCGCTGATGTGTACGAGGCGGTGTTGAATCGGCCGCGGGGTTCAGCGTCGATCACAATTCCTGCCATTGCAGCTACGCTTTTGTCAATCGCGTTGGCTATGCTGAGTTGAAGACAATGAAGACTATCGGAGGAAGTATCACAGCGATCGCAGCTCTTCGCTCTTACTTAGCCTTGAGTGAAGCTGCATAAGGGTGGATTCCGTGCGCCGGGGTGAATAGCTTCATTCCGCAACGGACTCATTAATTTAGAACACTACTGGGAATCAATTTTATCAAGTGGGCTGAATCTGCTGTGCAGATTCAAATGTTGCAACTGCTCCTGCGCGTCGACTCGTCTTTCCGAAGTATTTGTCGAGAAAGCTGAGAAACGACGCCTTATGCTGACAGTCCCGACAGCGCCTCACACCGAAGATACCGCAAAAGCCGACTTCGTGTGAAATCGTGAGTAGCACGTTGGAAATTTCTCTCAGGAACATTTGACAACTCATTCCAACGTTCGCGCCTTTGCAAATTGGGAGGTGCCTGCAGTTTTTGCTTGCCATGCTCCAATTGTTTTTCCTTTCTACCTATTATAACTTGGTTCCTTAGATTAAATTGCTGCGCGGAATCCTTTTGCTTGCTCGTTTATACTTCCAGTTCTTGTATTTTTCTCTTCAGTAAAAGGAGAATTAGAAACATCGAAAGGCAGACGGAGAGGTACCGAAACACAGAAGGAAAAGACACATGCATATTTACATTCTACGTAAACGTGGCGTGTATTTATGCTGCGCCTTGCTTCTTCTCAAAGGAAACCCCAAAGGAGCAGTGCATTCACATACGCCCAAATGAATGTGCTGGATTAACGCTTCTCAAACTTGTATGCATTAAAAGACCATGGGCGTGAGCGCACCACATATTTCACGTACAAGTATGTCAAGGTTAGCGCACGCATGAGTAGACATGCGAACGGAAGTTGCACCTACCAATATGCAACGTGAGCATGCTGGTACAAAAATACAGGTGTACACACACACATTCACACGTGGGCAAACGTATATTTACGAACTCTCATTCACGAGCATATGCGGGCACGAGTAAACAAGGTGCATATACATGCCGTTTCGGAGTCTACTAGAGTTCACAAGTAAAATGAGGAAGTTAGAACAGTTTGGAGGGAGGAGTTAGGGCATATTGCAATCAATTACCCGCACGGATTCTAAATCTGAGTGCACGCAAACACGTGTGCTGGCTTTCTCGAGGCTCTGTGTGCTCTGTGAAAACCCTCAAAATTTCATACGAAAACTTAGAAAGGCATCTATGCCGCAGGCCGCAGCTCACTGGAAAAATAGAGCCGTGCAGGAAGGCTGTTTCGACGCTTGCTTATGCGCCAGTAGCGGAACTCCTATTCAGTGCATGAAATTTCAGTGTATACAGTGAGTTTATCGCAGCCCCTCAGTGACCGTGAGTCTGTCAGCGAATGCGTGCGTACACGTCAGTGCTTCAATGTTTTGGTCCACCACTTGAACGCATCGTAGGCCGAAGAGCGCTCACATTTTTACGATGAAGGAACGTGCTTATCTACCAAAATTGTCTAAGGAGCATAAAATGCCTTGTCGTAATATAGAGGGAGATGCGGTCATAGCCATGTAAAACGATCCGATGCTGTCACTGGAGTCACTTCACCTAGCGTACGAGCCATCATAGAAAGTTGGGGATGCATTCATACAGAATCTAGAAAATAACACAAAAATGAAGTCGTAATGACACAACATGACTGACCGCAGCATCTGCTAAGGTTAGTCCCTCAACGGGCACACCCCCCAACGTTCGACGGCACATGGGGGTCTAGCCTATTCTTAACAGACCAGACTGATCCCATTAACTCAACAGGCTCACATATGTATCATATTAATTTTGGGTGGTGTCTCAAATTGAACTGTTTTGTAGGATCGGCCAACAAACTACGGAGGGACACATAGGAGCACCACATCGCACGGTGTCGCTTTTGCACAGGATGCGAGGCAATTAAATTCATAGAACTTGGTCCGGCCGAAATAACGCAAAATATTTAAAACATTATCTGTTTATCTTAGCCTAACGGAAATGGCATGGCTGCGCGAGAGACTACAGCGCGTGCGTGTTATGTCTTTCGCACATCCCACCGAGCCTCTGGAATTCGGCACCGCTTTGGCCCTCACGTAGCACATTGCTTACCTAACCAAGAAGACTTCTCGGGAAGAGCATATGTAAAATTAGACATTAGCAGAACCACGCCTTACACTAAATTGTTTAATTAGGCTCTGTTCACGTTCCGCAGCTCGTAATGCGCGCGCGCGACAGATCAACACACACACACACGCATCTCGGCAGCAGGTAGTCACTAATCGAGTAACCGCTCACTTCAACAGACCACGAAAAACCTGCACATTAGGATCTTAAAGCATTTTCTGTTGAAGCTTCACAAAGCAGAATTCTAAGAAACAGGTTTGCTCATCGCAGCTCAGGTGGTGGAACACTACCATGGTCTAGCTGGCAGCTGGGACTGTCACGTCGATGAGCCCTGAGTTTCTCATCCTACACACGAGATTTTCCCAGCATTTCAATTTTTTTTGTTGACCTGGGTGTGCTCGCCCACTTTGTTCCTGTTGTCCCTCCGCCTTCCTTCTGTGTTTCTCCGCAATGTCTCGACTTGGCCTGTTGGCGTGGTACGCTGGTCTCCTCGCTGGAGCAGGGGCACCGGACTTTTCAACCGCAGTCCCCATTCGCTCTGCCGCTGTCAATCTGCACCACAAGATCCTAGACACTAAGGCATCTTCCCTCGCACAAGTAGCAACGACACCCACTGCTGCAAAGAAAACTACAGGTAAACTGAGAATGCGGGCGTGAGGCCGGCAATAGGCAAGCTAGCCTCTCTCTTCTGGTAAACATTCACAGGAGTTTGTGTATATCCTCATGTGAAGCTCTGGCAAGCAAACTGCATCTTCTCGTTGAGAAAACGCCAAGTTTGCTTGCCGGGACAAGACGTCATAGTCAACACACGGCATCGCTATGAGGTTAGGTATGCTTGCCTGGTCGAGACATTCAGTCTGCGCACAGCTTTATCCACTAGCTAAAACATGTGTGTTATCTGCCCCTATCCAGACTGCTTACCCATCCTGAATAGCTTGCGAACGGAAGGCCTGAATGGGTTGCTCGAGGAACTGGCTGAAGCGGGAGACGGGGAGGTTAGTGCAATAAGTCCTCTACAGAAGAGTGGTAAAACTGTCACTGCCATCGCAGAAGAGCTTGCTGGCGCTGACCAAAGTTGTACTGGATCATCTGAGAATCAGGTATGGCTTTCGGCACCGCGCGAAATACTGGCAGGACCCCAATGCACTGACTCCCCTATCCAATTGTGTTTATTAGTTGTGTTTTTGTCTACGGCTCGAGCGAGGCGAATTTAGCCCCGTAATACTTGCATCTCACATAGTTGTTGATGCCCTTGCTGTGCTCAGTATCCTGGACTTGTAATCACGTTTGACCACTCCACGAGCTTCGACTGCAAGGCTCTAATCAATGAGTCTTTTACTGCAGGACTAGACCATCTCGAAAAGTCTGTTTGTTTCTGTTTTTTTCTTTAACGATTCGCTATTCCGGTTTTTTCACTGAAGCATACGGCCTTGCATATGTCTCTGAACAGCGGTGCACAGCCACTTTTTTTGATGCGCTTCCTCCTCTGTCTTGCAGCCCTGTTGCGCTGACTCCTTCGACTTGAGAATTGTCTTTCTTTTATCAGGGCGAACTACGACGCGACCAATGGAGAAAATAAACTGGGAACAGATCCATTGGACGATATATCGGCAAAAAATCTTGCGGCCATAGTGTCCAAGAAAGCTGCAAAAGTGTCATGTGCTGCCACTACAAATTGTACAGCTGGCAAAAATGTGCTTTATTGCTATTTCATAGATCCTTTGGAAAAGGAAGAAGTAAAGCCAATTGAGTGAGTATATCAACTGAAATTTCTGGGAGCACCGTTTTTTATTAAAAATCCGCCAACTCACCACCACCACACCGTCGTATACGGCGTGATCAAGACCACATATTTGGGCATGAGACCTACGCCGAACACTGCGTTTTATTTTTTGCAGCGCTGGTGTGTACGAGGCCCTGTTGAAGCGGCAGCGGGGTTCAGCATCGATCACAGTTCCCAGCATCACAGCTACGCTCTTCTCGCTCGCGTTGGTTCTGTTGAGTTGACTGTGGTGAAATACCTCGAAAAAGGTTGAGCGGCGGTTCCATAACTTGTTTTTTCTTACTGTGAAGCTGCACAAGGAAGGATACTGCATACCCTGCGGAGTAGTACATGGATTATCTTCACATCGCCTTCAATTACTGGAAACACTGACAAGCCATTAGTGTATTTTTTATTAGGTGGATGTATCTTGTGCGAGTTCAAACGTTGCGACTGCACGTACCAGTCGATTCCTCTTTCCGAATTATGTTTCGAGAAGGATAAGTAATTAGGGCGCTCTTTGTTTACAGTACTCGCAGCGCCTCACGTGGACGATACTCCCTTCGTGTGAATTCGCTCACATAACGGGAGATATTCGAAACACTGCTTGACAATTCAATCTACTGTACGTCATATTTCAAATAGAAAGTTTGCAGTTTTTTGGTGTTTCTAGCTTGTGTTTCGAAGTGCTGTAATCGCGGCAGGAGGGAGACATTAGATCTAGCAGCATGCTTTCTCTCGATGCTCATTTTAGTGAGAAGCTTCAGCATGCAAAAAGCCCGGAATCAACTGCCGAGATCACGTCGAAATAATGCCAAGTAGCTAAAATATTCTATTTTTCGTTGCCTTCTGAAGAAGACTCGACCATGCAAGGGACCAAGATTCGGCGTGTCTTCGTCTTCCTTCATATGGCAGATTCTCCCCAGCCCTTGCACCGGCAAAACAGTGTTTACCTCAGCTATGGAACCCCCTTATAGATGAAAAACAAAATGGGGAGGAAGTTATGTGAAATGTGAAATGATAGAACTAGCTTTCACGTATACTGCAACACAGAGTGGACGTGAGCGGTAGAAATCACTCACACACACACGCATTTGGGTCTACGCCTAGACCTCACGGAAGATGCATTGATTTTAGCAGGCCAGTGAACACCTAAGCAATATATTTGAACACTTTCTGTTGAACCGACACAAATTTGAGGGCCTGATCCAAAAGAATGCATCATGGTCTCCCAGGTGGTGGAACAGCACCGTGCTCTAGCTGGTAGGTGGCATTGCTACCTGGATGAGCACTTAGTTAACCATTGCACTCACGCATTGGTTCCTCCAAATCTGCACACTTTACTTTTTTATTCTGTCGCCTGTTGGCCTGTGTGTGCTCATCCATTTTGTCCCTGTTGACCCTTCGGGTCCCCGGGTTTTTCCTTAATGTCTCTAATTCGCCTGTTGGCATGCTACGCTGGTCTCCTCGCCGGGGCAGCGGCACCGGACTTTTCAGCAGCAGTCCCCGTTCGCTCCGCTGCTGTCAGCCCCCACCACAGGAGCCTAAACATTAGGGCATCTTCCCTTGCACAGGTAGCAGAGCAGCCTTCTGCCACAGAGAAAACCGAAGGTGAGTTGGGGATGTGGGTAGAGGCCGACCATAGGCAAGCTAGCCTCTATTTTCTTGTTAGCATCCTCTAGTCTGTGTATATCCTCACGTGAAGATAAAATGCCATTGAGTTTGCTGCCGAAACAGGACGACAGGAAATGAGCAGCTCCCTCGTAGTCCCAACATATGGAATCGCTATGACATTAGGCATGCCTGCTGGGTCAAGGCATTCAGTAGTCTACCGCTGACCTGCGGATCATGAGCCCGATGAGCTTCATTCATTAGCTAAAACGTGGCGTGTGTTGCCTGCTCCTATTCAGATTGCTTACCCATCCTGAATACCTTGCGAACGGAAGGCCTGAATGGGTTGCTGAATGAACTGGCTAAAGCAGAAGCTGGTGAAGTTAGTGAAATACAGCCTCTACAGCGGAATGGTAAAAGTGTCACTGATATCGCAAAAGAGCTTGCTGGGTCCGACGAAAGTTGTGGAGGACCAGAAGGAGAAAATCAGGTGTGGTTTTCGGCACCAAGTCCGGGAGGAACACTGACAGGGCCCCAATGCACTGACTCCCCTGCCCACTTGCGTTTATTAGTTGTCGCGCTTTTTTCTAAGCCCGTGTGAGGCGACTTTAGCCCCGCACAGATGCAAAACTGTCACATAGTTCTTGATGCCCTTGTTGTGCTCAGTATCCTGGACTTGTAATCACTTTTGATTACTCCACGGACTTCGACTGCAAGGCTCTTATCAATGAGTCTTTTGCTGCAGGACTAAGCCATCTCGAAAAGTCAGTTTCAGTTTTCCTCTTGAAGCATTCAGCCCCACATATGTCTGAACAGCGGTTCATAGCCACTTTTTTTTGATGCGCTTCCTCTTCTGTTCGGCTGCACTGTTGCGCTGACACTTTCGACTTGAGAATTGTCGTTTTTTGATCAGGGCGAACTATGACGCGACCGCTGAAACTAATAAATTGGGCACAGCTCCACTGAACGATGCTGCAGCAAAGAATCTTGCGGCCATAGTGTCAAAGAAGGCCGCAAAAGTGGCGTGTGCTGCCACTTCAGGCTGCACAGCCGGCAAAAATGTTCTTTATTGCTATTTCAAAGAGGCTTTGGGAAAGGAAGAAGCAAACCCAATTGAGTGAGTGTATCAACACTGAATAACCCGAGAGAAACAGCACCAACTCACCACCACCACCTTGTCGTCGTATGCAGCATGATCAAAACCACATATTTGGGCAAAAAAGCGTTGCGCCAATTCTAAAACCGAGCATTTTTCATTGCCTTTTGCAGCGCTGATGTGTACGAGGCTCTGTTGAAGCGGCAGCGGGGCTCAGCATCTACCATAGTTCCTGGTATCACAGCTACGCTCTTCTCGCTCGCGCTCGTTCTGTTGAGTTAAATACGGTGGAGATGTGGAACAAAGTACCATAGCGGTTCCATCACTTGTTTGTTCTTGCTGACTGGAGTGAAGCTGCACAAGGAAGGAGACTGGATACCCGGAGCCGTGGTGCATGGCTTCCCTTCGCATCGCCTTCAAGTACTGGAAACACTGACAAACCACTGGGGTATTTTTTATAAGGTGAATGTATCTTGTGCGGGTTCAAACGTTGCGACTGCAAGTACCAGTCGATCTCTTTTTCCGAAATATGTTTCGAGAAGGATAGGCAATTGGGGCGCTCTTTGTTTAGAGTACTCGCAGCGCCTCAGGTAGACGATTCTTCCTTCGTGTGAATTCGTTAACATGTTGGAAGGTAAACGAAACATTGCTTGACAATTCAATCTAATGTACGTCATATTTCAAATCGAAAATGTTCAGTTTCTCTAGCAATGTTTCAAGCGCTTTAGTCCCGGCAGGAGACATTAGATCTAGCGGCACTTTCTCTCGATGCTCATTTTAATCAGAAGCTTCAGGATGCAAAAAACGCGAAACTCACTGCAGCGATCAGGTCAAAATCAGGTCAAAATAAAGTCTATTTCAGCTACTTGACTTTACTTTTCAGCTACTTTTCAATTTAACATCACTTTCTGGAGAAGACTCAACCACGCACGAAGTTAAGGCTACCCTGTCTCATTTCACGTGGGAGATTCCCACCATTGGAAAGACACCCGGGTCTACAAAGCGGCGAAGCATCGCTGACCTCACCTAGAAGACTCCTCTGGCAGATAAAAAACAAAACTGGAAAGTACGTCATGTCGCATGTAAAGTGGTACAATCCTATTTCTGGTATACCGCAATACGCAGTGCACGTGAGCGATGGATGTCACACACACACGCATTTGGATCTACGCCTAGGATGTATTTTACAGACCAGTGAACTGCTAAGCCGTATACTTGAACATTTTCCGTGGAACCTAGACAAATTTGGGCGCTCAATCCATTAGATCAGATCATGGTATCTTGGCTGGTGGAACAGCACCCTGCTCTAGCTGGCCGGCAGGACTGTTACCTCGACGAGCACTTAGTTCCCCACTGCACGCACGCATTTGTCCCTCCAAACTTGCACACTTTTATCCTGTCGCCTCTTGTGTGTGCTTATCCATTTTGTCCCTATTGAACCTTCGGGTCCCCGTGTTTTTCCTTGATGTCTCGAATTCGCCTGTTAGCGTGCTACGCTGGTCTCCTCGCCGGGACAGCGGCACCGAACTTTTCAGCAGCAGTCCCTATTCGCTCTGCCGTTATCAGCCCACATCACGGGAGCCTAGACACAAAACAGCCTTCTTTCGCTCAAGATGCAACCCCGCCTACGGCCAAAGACCAAACTGAAGGTAAAGGAGGCATATAAAATTGAGGGCAACGAAAAACAAGCTATTTTCAGTTGCTGTGTTGTTTGCAGCCCCTAATGCCACCATAATAATAGGACAGTATACTTTCCTTCGATAGTCTCTCTGGTCAACATAATTCATGGCATTCTGTTTACTTGGAGTTTCAGCAGGCGCCAGCACCACTCCTATAGGCACGCCTGCTTGGGTGCCATCGTACTTTATCAGCTGCATACAGCTTTATTCCTCTAAACGTGGCCTGCGCTATCTGCCCGTATTCAGCGTGCCTGCTCGTTCTAAATTCTCTGCGAGCGAAAGGCCTGAATGGGTTGCTGAACGAACTGACGAAGGCGAACGAAGACGAAGTTCGCGAAAGCCTTCAGCCTGCTGGGAAAAGTGGGAATAAAACTAGCGTCATTGAAATCGCACAAGAACTTGCAGGAACCGACAAATCAACATGTGACGCAACAACTGCGAATAAGTCGCCGGTGCGAGCTTCGGTGCCAGATTTCGTCACGAACTATTCGATAGCGCCTTCGTGCACAGATTCATTAGGAGCTTGCACACATGCATTTGTTAGCTATAAGCTTCTGCCTACCCCGCCGGCGATGTGATTTTAGACTCACAATATCGTCATTTGTCGAAGTCATATGTTTTTGCTTGTTGTCTTGTTGCTCGTGCGCAGTATTCTGGACTTGTTATTACTTTTGATCATTCCGCAGAGTTCGACTGCGAATCTTTGATCAATGAATCCTTCACTACAGGACTAAACCATCTGCAAGAGTCCGTTTGCTCAAGATTTCTGTTCAAGGAAATACTACTATCATTCCATGTTTAACAAAAGAGAGGGCCTGCTCATGGTGTTGGTGCAGAGTGGCTTTTCCCGTTATTACTCCGCGCTTTCCACGCAACGATTTTGGGGTGTCGTGCTACTTTCATCACCTCCACTAATTGACTGCATTGGTTGAGCTTCTTTGAGCTTGCTATTTCGGGCTCCTTTGCGCAGGCAGAACTACGACGCATCGGCTGATACTACCAAGCTGGGCGAAGCTCCATGGGACAATCTGGCGGCCAAAAATCTTGCGGCCATAGTATCTACTAAAGCGGAGAAGGTATCATGTGCTGCCACTACAGATTGCGAAGCTGGTAGCAATGTCTTGTTTTGCTATTTCATACAGCCCTTGGCACTGGACGAAGTGCAGCCGATCAAGTGAGCTTTTGTCATGCAACAAAGAGCTGGCTTATGCTTCTTCTTAGAGGAAAACTGCTCGAACGAACATCTTGAGGTCCTATGTACTGCCATCAGAACTGTATGGGCGCAAGGTGAAACCAACTTTTGGCTAGCACTGTGGGCGAGTATTTTGCAGGGCTGAAGTGTATGAGGCACTCCTGAGGCGACAGCAAGGCTCAGCGTGCATTCCACTTCCTGGCATTACGGCTGCGCTTTTTACTCTCGCCTTGGCAATCTTGAGCCAATAACGGCTGATAACTGACAACGCAGCAGTGCTGATTGCCATTTTGAACAATGGCTTGACGTCTTCCACGTCAGAGCAGGCGACCGAAGCATCGCAGCGATGGCTTTTTCCTTTCTGTCGTCTGAACTTCATCCTCGAGTGAAGCGGTGCAGGGATATCCTGCACGGTGATATACAGTTTCACTTCGCATAGTAATTAATAAAAGAATCAAAGGAACGCTCGAAATGCTGGTGATGGGGCAAATTTAATTTGCCGAGCAAATTGAACGCTGCAGTTGCACTTCCCAGTCAATTTATCTCTGAGAAAGAGGAAGAAGGGAAGCGTCTTATGTCTACAGAAAGTGAGAAAGAGGAAGAAGGGGAGCGTCTTATGTCTACAGAAAGCAACAGCGACTGGTGAAAAATACCAAGAAAAGCGGCGTCATTTGGTATCCTCAGTATCACGATGCACTGCCTTTGAGAACGCATTCCAGTCTTTGTTTTCAAATCGGATGAACTGTCAATTTTTAAGCTAACTTACATTCCTCCTTTCTGTCCCGAAATTTGTCCTGCTAAGCAGAAAGTAACCCATACATAGTTAAAGCACTCCAAACTTTGTTTTCAAATCGGATAAACTGCCAATGTTTTTAACCAACTTTTACATCCCCCCTTTCTCTCCCGGAATATGTCCTGCTAAGGAGAAAGTAACGCGTACATAGTTGAATCCAACACTCTGGAATAGATTGGGAGTGCTTGGCAAAAAAGCGAGGCGAAGTGGTCGATGTTTAAATGTAGAGGTTAAATTAATATCATTCCCTATGTACTGGACAATATGAAGAAACATCATCACTGGCTACAAGCCAAGTTGTACACATCAATCTCGAAAACTTTAGGCCATAGTTCCGCATTTATTCGTTAAAGGGAGTAAAAGTTTGTGGCTTGGTGAAACCGGTGCACATCTTCCAAACACAAAATTGAAGAAGGGTGCATCAGGAGAAGTCATGACCAGCTCACAAGCAAATGCAACAAAAGTGGCACGGCGTGAAGCGGCTCAAGATTTCGATAGTGAGGGCTCTAGTAGGGAGGAGAACTAGCCTTTTCCGTGCGCTTCACTGTTGTGCCGGAGTTTATATCAATTTTGTCACGAATTATGCGATGGGGGCTCTGTGCACAGATAAGTCACAGCATTCTGTGGCATTACAGTGGCTGAGCTGTAATGCGTTTGGCGCGGCGACAGCGAGCCCGTTACGCAGACGGCAACACTGGCCGATGTGAAATAGTCGTTCTCAGTATCGTTGAATAAGCGCATATTTTCTATATCTAAGGGCCAGAGAAAATATTGGTGGGAAAACTGTCGTGATTCTTTGATTGGGAAACCGGCGTGAAGAAGCACCAGCGTAAGCAAGGCGGGTCAAGCATACGAGCATACACAGCGTGTGGGCACTATTTGGCTTCTCTATATCCTGCCTGAGCATGTTTTAATTAAATATTGGGCTGCAATATCCAGACAAATCACAAATTTTGCCGTTGGGAACTTGTGAGGATGCAGGTCACCAGCTGCTCACGTGACGCCTTGACCTCAACCGAACCATGAATAGTGTCTTGTTTCTCATTCTTACACTCAAAATACCCTTCTGTAAAGGCGAATTCATATATTTAATGTTTTCTGAGTAGAAGTGTCCCATGCACCAGTCTTCTCCGCCCAGTGTTGGATGGTGTGTGGACAGAGTGGCTAGGCCGTCGGTGACTCATCGGGATCTGCAACAGGCAAACTTACCCCTGAGAAAGAGGAAATATGGGCCGAAGGGTAATAATAAACTCAAAAGTTTTAATTTTAAAGATCCATAGAATTTCTGGAAGTGTTGATGCAAGCCATTGAGTGACTTTATAGTGGGGTCGTGGCATTGTAGCGATCTCTGCTACTAGAAACAACATAGAAGCCTCCAACGCTTGTAAAACACACACAACAGAATTAGTAGCCGTCGCGAAGAGATCGTACAGACCTACGGCCTCCGTATCTTTCCCTTTTTCTCTTCTGGTGCCTTTACGTTCGGTTTCGTGTGTTATCGTTTACTTTGTAACAATCCTACTTCCCACAATGGGTCGCGCATGTTTGTTTGCTTGCTATGCTGGCCTAATTGGAAACCTCACAGCTTCAGAGTTCTCAACAGCGCTCTCGATTCGCTCGGCTGCAGCAGGCTCTCAAGAAAATCGTCTTCATTCAAAATTGCTTGTGTCTGTTGAGCAGACGCCGCCCACGGCCGAAGATAAAACTGATGGTGAAGTATAGATGAGAATAACAAGTGAATGACGTCGAACTAGCCCCATCCATAGCTTGATTTGTGGAGACATGCGGGCCTACGGGTGTTGTGCTTCCACATTATGACGGCCTCAACGCATTCCATTGCTGATGCGACATCCCAGCCGCGCCTCAATGCAAGTCTGCCTATGTACTCATGAGATGGCTGCTGGATGGCCCATTGCAAGCCGCTGCTGCAAATATAGCCGCATTCACATTCAACTTGTGTTGTGGTACCGTTTCCAGAATGCCTGGCCGTCATAAACTCCATCAGAACAGAAGACCTCAAAGATCTGTTAGAAGCCCTCACCAAAGCGAAAGATAATGAGGTGACCGAAAGCTTCAATAAAATCCAAGAGAGGAATCTGGAAAATCCCACTGCCATAAAAATTGCAGAAAAGCTTGCGGGTGAAGATGCAGCTACATGTAACTCAGCGGAAAGTGCAAATGCGGAAACGGTATGGCTCTAGCACCAGCCGAACAGTACAGCGCTGACTTTATTCAGCGGTTACCCACAGCTACAGCTTTAAATGGCCCCAAGGCAACGTAAAAATTTAGCTTTTTTTCGCTTGTTAAAGGAAATATGCAATGTGATTTACATCGCGTTGCTGCAGTATCCTGGACTCGTAATCCCATTTGCACACAATACGAAGTTTGACTGCGACGCTTTCATCCGGGCTACTTATAGAGCTGGACTCAGCTACCTCCAACAGTCAGTTGTTTACTTCATTTCGTTTTCCTCGACCAATATCCCCACCAACTATGCCAATCTGGACTCGCGTCGGACTTGGGAGTTCTGTTTTAACATGAGCATTCTTGATGTAGACTATTGCCCCACCTATTCACCTTTGCGGTCGTCCTCTTTTTCCAGATCTGCATCTGCGTAAGAGTTTATCTATTCTGATTTGACTGCTGTTGCTTTCATTCCCCAGGTCCAGCTTCGACCCGTCAACAGGCAAATACGACGTTACACAGGCTCCATTTAGTAATGTAGCGGCCAGCAATGTCGCGATTTTACTGTCGACCAAAAGCACAAAGGTTTCTTGTGCCGCCACCAAAAACTGTGCAGCAGGCAACAATATCTTGTTCTGCTACTTCATAGAGCCGCTCCTAACTGGGGATACGCCATTCACGTAAGCGCCAAACCACCCGCATGACAAGTCAACAACAAAAAGTGTAGAACACAGCTATCAATGCCCGTCAGCACAAAAGCATGATTCTCTGCACAGTGCGTATCCCACCGCCCAAAACAACAGTTGCCTTGTGTGTTTTTCAGAACTGAGCTTTACAATGCTCTCTGGGAAGTGGAGTCGAGCGCAGCGCCTACATCTGTTCCCAGTGTTGTCACCATTCTTTTGTCCCACGCCGCTCTTTTGTCCTTCAGTTTGATCCTTCTGAGATAGACCCAGCAAATAAGCTGCAAATCAGCCATTGGATATGTCGAAGCTGTGCAAGTAGGGTAGCACTTCTGAGTCAAATAGAGGCTGGCATATGAACTTCACTACTACCTACTGCCTATGGGTGATAAAAAGGACCTTTGGGCAAGAAATGCATCTTACTTTTCTATCCCCACTACTAACTCGTACTTTGCACTTTATGGACTAGCTAATCTCGTCATCGCTAACTTCGTTCCGTACCGCATCTTTCATATGAAACTGTTAGCGGTGCCGGTCATGAATGAGTTGACTTCGTTTGCTCCGTGACTTTGGATTTCGCTGTCCAATATCTCTTCCGCAATGTATTTTGACGTAGTGCCGGGTCAAGCCCTCCCCGGGAATCGTAGTAATGATTCTATATTCACTTCAGGAGGAGCACTTAGTCAGCTAGGCGAGAGGCTGCCACTTTTACTACCCAAAGTGTCTTTTATTTACACTTAATGAAGCTGTTAGGACAGAATAGTGAGATAGTGAGACAAGGCTTCCAATAATTGTGAACAGCATGCGTTCCTAGTCTGTGCTTCCTTTTAGGACGTGTTACTTAGTTGCGAGACAATGAATATGCTTTTCTGAGTCTGTACTGATTGATTTGAAGTTCCCCAGTGACAGGGACGTTTTGAAATTTCAATTTTGAATCCCTCTGATCTGAGAGAACCAGAAAACATATCTAAACTTTGGCCTGTAATGGTAGGTCTCCTACCTCGAATTTCGCTCTCACTACGGAAGATTTCTTGAGTGATTCTCTTGTACTGCACATTCTTGCCGCCACTGCTGTAATGAGCAGCGCGCGTTTGTTTCAAGTCATTACCTTCTCCGGAGTCAACACCGAGCCCACGTGCAAAAAGGATCTATGGTAGCTTAAATCAATACAGTAAAGACTGCTGAGGAGCAGTGACCGTTGGTATAGGCCTCTGCATTTCCCAATTTACTGGTCACAGCTCATATGAGGATACATCGCTTTTCATTGCAATATAGCTGCAAGATGTTTTCCCATGCTCGTTTTCTCGTTCGAGGTTCTTTGGGACATCTTCCCTTCGAATCTGTTTTTGTCTCCTGACGCTTTTTCCCTCTTGTCACCTTCCGTCCCTCGTCCCTTCATGTTCGCCATCTCTCTGTTTCTTATCTCTATGCTGTCTCCTGTATCTCTTTTCCTCCAGTTTTAATTTAGCACCTGTTTCTTTGTGTTCGCTTTCTCATTTTGCCTCTTATCTTTCGTTCTCTCTGTCCTATGGCGTTTCATGGCTCTTCATGTCTCCTGTACTCGATCCTTGCGTTTCCTGTCTCTCCGTCCTTACTGTCTTTCTGTGAATTCCGTGCCTTTGCGTCCTTCGTCTTTTGCCGTTTCTTGCTTGCTTCTTTTGGGCGGCGCTTTTAGAAACTCAAGCTAAGGTGTGATGCGCCTAATGTAAATTTCGCTAAGTCATATTTCCTGATGGAATGCTGCCGATGGTCATGTAACGTTTTGCGCGAATCTGTACTCCTGTAACGATTTCGCAATAATGCCGCCCTCGTTTCACTAAACATCTACTTCATTCCACGGCAAAAAGGTCAGGTTTGCACGCCACCACATTGCAGACCAGCCAAAAGCTGTAATAGTGTAGCCCAGGTAGCCACCAAGAAGTGCAGCAGCCTCTTTCTTAAATTTGGCTGCTGTAGGGACCCGAGACTTCACATTGAAGTTTATTTGCTTATTCATTTCCTGCTCATCTCACCGTGCTACCAAATTCATGTTATGGCCTTTCCAGTTGCACAGTTTCCCGCTCCGGTTGGCTCCACCCATGAACGCCGTGTTGTAAATCTTATCGAAAATTGTTGTTCGCTTCAAAGCAAGCAGACACAAATAATATCAAATGCAACAACTGCATATGAACTGTTTAAAATTTGAGTGTTTGAATTAAGACCCCTATTTTTTGGGAGCGTAACACTGTAGGTGGTACAGGCTTCTGTCTACTAAGTAGTAGCCAATATTTCGACAGACAGTTCTGCGTAGTGAAACAAGCAACTAGAGCACAACTTGCGAACAATTCTTTTCAGTCTGGTTGTAGAGGTGGACGCAGTGGCCCTCCAAGCTGCAAACGGCCTTGCCGTTTGGCCATCCATTGAAACTTCAGTTGCCCAGCGTATTGACAGCTGCTAATTGTTCGTAAATTTTGACTTGCTTCAGCAGTTAGGTTCTACAACTGAATGCTGAGGCAGCTTAACTGGGGCAAGCCATATAGCGTGCCGAGTCCACTGGTGCGAATGTGCCTTGCCTACTTTTGAAGCGCACAAAGTAACCGCCTTCAGGAGCACTCATACATCCTTAAACGTTTTTCGAAAAAGATTCAGTGGGAATTTTCATTGCGTCCCGGTAAACTGGAATGTGTGCCACATGGACTGTAGCATGGTCTGGCGGCTTCTCCTGGTCTCCCATGGCATAACCATATCGGAAGACCAAATCTGGCGGCATAGAGCAGTTACCCAATACACATATCGCTTTACGAAATGTTGAAAAGGGGTGGTGAGCTCATATGCATGCCCTTGCATCAATGGGTGTTGAGACTGCCAGCTTGATGAATTGCGTCTCGTGCAGACACAGCTACTAGCAGTTTCTCCACGTTTTCCATGTTCGCCCTTCTCCTCCTTTTGTCCCCTTACTTCCGCTGGCTCTTCCCAAACACTCTCTGAGCTTTAGTGTTTCCCACTTTCCCACAGTGTCTCTCCTCAGTCTGCCGGGATGCAGTGGTGGGGACACCTTAACAAGGCAGCCTCAGCGGACAACTCAGAGAGAGTCCCCAGAAATGTGTAACTGTCAATCCTAGCTACAATAAAGTGAATGCAAGATCACTATTACCTCACACAACAACAGACTGAATGCAAGATCATTAAATCGTCAACCACCACTGCTCCAAAGCAGTGGACAAAACTGACGGTGAATTGCGATACCTATGTGTGTGCTTATGTAGAATGGGCTGCAGTTTGGCTTGCGACGACACACGAAAATGTTTGGGTCTTCGTGACAAACTATGCCAGCAGGATAAGATTGGTCTTGTTGTTTTGCTTGTGTGAATGTGCTCGAGATCCCACCGGCCTGGGGACTTCGGGGTCCCTTAGGCTACACGTTGCTTGCAGCACCCAGAAGACATCTTGGGCAAAAGGGAAGTAAAATGGGGGATCAACAGAGTTACGCTTCTCTTAACAGGGCAAAATTTGGCTCCTTTTATTTTCGCGCAGCTCCTAATGCGTGTGAGCGACAGATGAACACACACACGCATTTCCGTAGCATATAGGCTTGTAGCAACCAATTGAATAATCGCTTACTTTAACACACCACTAAAAGCCTACATACTCAGGTCTTCAAACGTTTTCTGTTGATGCTCCGCAAATATGAATACTGGGTCAAAACATAAGCGCAGCCTAGCCGACATGGTGGGACAGCACCGTGCTCTAGCTGGCAGCTAGATCACGGTGCTGGGATTGTCACCTCGATGAACCCTGAACCCTTAGTTGCCCACTGCACGCACGCATTCGTTTCAAAAAAATTGCACACCTTTATTCTGTCGTGTGTTGAGCTGCACGTGCTCGTCAACTTTGTTCCTGTCGACCCTTCGGGTTTCTATGTTTTTCCTAAATGTCCCAACTTGGCCTCTTGGCGTGCTACGCTGGTCTCCTCGCCGGGGCAGCGGCACCGAACTTTTCAGCAGGAGTCCCCATTCGCTCTGCTATTGTCAATCCGCACCGCAAGAGCCTAGAGATAAAGCCACCTTCCTTCGCTCACGTGGCAGCGGCACCTGCTGCTGAAGAGAAAACTGATGGTAAATTGGAAGTGTGGACATGAGAGAAATGACAGACAAGCTGGACCCAACTATTATGTCTTTTGTAGACACTTCTAGAGCCCACGAGTGCCACCAGACGGTGGATAGTACAATGGTGTAACCGATGAAATGCTCGTACGACTCGTCAGCTGTTTTGCAGTCAGCATTTATGGCATGTTGTTCGTACGCTGTTTCAATAACCGTTGGCGCCAAAACCAAAGGCTTTACTGATTGGTTCGGATTATTTATCTATTAATTAGTATTTGTACAGAGCATCATCCACCGTAAGGAATGAAGTGCGTTGTTTGCTCCTGTTCAGCATGCTTGCCCATTCTTAATGCCTTGCGAACGGAAGGGCTAGGCGGATTATTGAGCGAGCTCGTTAAAGCAACTAGCGATGAAGTTAAATCAAGTCTTTCTCCTCCAACAAAGAGTGATACCAAAACTAGCGTCACTGACATCGTGAAAGAGCTCGCAGGGGAAAGCAAAGACAGCTGTGATGCAACGAATGCCAATACGTCGAAGGTATGCCTTCTCGAACTAAATGTTGACACAAAATTTTCTGAAGGGGCCCTGTGTACTGATTTTTTCGGGAGCTTGCTAGCCTACATTTGTTAGCCGCCATTCACAGCGGTTTACAATGCGCTGTTGTCTGTGTGCAGTATTCTGGACTTGTTATTACTTTTGAACATTCTACAACGTTCGACTGCGGGGCTCTGATCAAGGAATCTTTCACTGCAGGACTGCGCCATCTCGAACAGTCCGTCTATTGCAGTTTTCTCAAAGAAATGTTTCTGCAGTACACTGAGGCATGTGGTGTTCGTTCATATTGACCATGAATGGTGAGCTAAAGCCACTTCATTTTCTTTTGTTCCGCAGTCCTTGTCAACTCCTTTGATCTGGCTACTGCGGGCTTCTGCGCAGAGAGAACTACGACGCGTCGGCTCAAACCAATAAATTGGGCGTGGAGCCACTGAACGACCCAGCGGCAAAAAATCTTGCGGCCATAGTGTCTACTAAAGCGGGGAAAGTGTCGTGTGCCGCCACTACAGATTGTACAGCCGGTAGCAATGTGTTATTTTGCTATTTCATAGAGCCTCTAGCAGCGGACGAAGCACGGCCAATCGAGTGAGCTGTTTTCCACAGAACAATCTGGCAGCGTTATTGCTCTTCAACGCTGCAGCGTGCGATCCATGAAGGTATGGAGCTGAACCCACAAAGCAAGCGCTTTGTTCTGATTTTTTGCAGGACTGAAGTATATGAAGCGCTTCTGAAGCGACAGCGGGGCTCAGCGTCCATCACAGTCCCTGCCATTACAGTTACGCTTTTCTTTCTCACGTTGATAATGTTGGGTTGAAAACGGCCGGTGACTGGCAACGCAGGAGTGCTGACTATTATCAATATAATTACTGCGCGTCTTGCGCGTCAGAGTAGGCGAATCCTGCGAATAAATGTCCATAAAAAATTCATAACACTTTTTTCCACCTTTATGTCCGAGCTTCACCTTTGAGTGGAGGAAGCTGCACATAATTTTCCTGTGCGGTGATGTACAGCTTCAGTTCGCATCGCATTCTTTTAAAAAAGCAGAGGAACGCTGGAAATGCTCTACATAAGTGCCATGTTTTCAAAATTAAAGGTTGCAAGACGGGAATTGAACAACTCTGTGGACCAAATTTGTCGTGAAACTAAATACTGCATCCGCAATGCCCAAGCCAATTTTCTTCCTGGAATGTGGGAGCGTTTTATGTCTACGGCAGCAGCAGCGCCTCACTGAGACGTATGATGTTGGTCGCAACCCCGCACGTCAGTTGTTTTTGTTGTTTTCTTGATTTGTATCAGCCTAACTCTTTTTCAACTCAGTGTCAAAATCTTTTCATCCAGGAGATTTCCTTTTTCTTGATCCTATTTTTAGAATATAGATGTTAGAGATGAAAACATTCATTTTTGAGTAAAACAGCCAGAAAAGGGGTTCCCTTGTCAACGTAGAAGAAACTGCTTGAAATTCATTTTCACGCACAGTTCTAACGAAGGCACGAAGAAGCTATAGTTAACGATGAAGTGCCGATTTGTAAACACCTCTTAGGGCCTCGACGCACTTTTTGGAATCAATGTGTGCATTCATCTTGTGAAAGGAACATACTCCGAATTAATGTAATAGGGTGGTTGCACACTTCTGAAGCATTAAAACCACGTAAGGGGAATAATGAATGTTGTTTCTACCAACTTCGACGGGAATGGCTGTGAATTAAGCAACGTTTGCATATCTCAACAGCAGGCAGGGACAGTTGTGATTCTACGGTGAAATTCGCACTCGTTCTGTCGCAACTCAGCTCAAAATTAAAAGAAGCGCATAAATTGCAGCCCGGTGAGGATAGCTTCTGCAGGGCACATTAACGAAGCAAAGAGTTGACGCGGGAGCCTATAGTGGACAAAATCCAAAACAACCAGCAGATATTAATCAGTACACACTTATATTGAGCTTTGTGGCAGCATGTCTCTGCGGAATAGGTGAGTATAGCTAGCAACATAAAGGATGAATAGATTGTACGGGCCTCTGGCTCAACTTATCATCCTAAGAAACTATTGGTTGGAAAACTGCCGAGGTTCTTTGTTTGGGACATCGACATGAAGAAGCGGCAGTGTGAGCACCGCACGTCAAAGCACGTGGGCATCCAGAGCCTGTGGGCAATATTTGGGTTCTCTATCCTGCCTGAGCATGTTTCGACTAAATTGTAAGCAATAATATCCAGCTGAATCACAAATTTTGCCTTTGGGGGCTTGTGAGGATGCAGGTCACCTGCTGTTCAATGCAGGTCACCTGCTGTTCACGGAACACCCTGACCTCAATCGAACCTCCTTATCATGAGTAGCGACTTATTTCCCACCATTAGGCTCGAAATACCTTTCGGTAAAATTTAATTCATATTTTAATGATTTCTAAGTATAAGTGTCCCATGTATTAATTTTTTTCGACTCATTTTGGATGGTGTGTGGACGGCGTTGCTAGGCCGGATGTGGTTCATAGGGATCGTCACGAGGTATAAATGCCTCGTGCAAACCCTGCCACCGAGAAATAAGAAATGCGTTGCCAAAAGGTAAAAACCTCAAAAATTTTAATCTCAAAGGTCCATAAAAGCAACTCATTGGGTGATTTGGTGTTGGGGTCCAGGCATCGTAGGGATCTCTGCAACATGGTATCCTGGCGTGACACCGTGACCTCGAAGGAAACTCGTCAACATGAATGCCGTCTTATTTCCCATCACTACATTCAAAACGCCTTTACGGAAAAGTTAGTTCACATTTTTACTGCTTTAGAAGTGGAAGTGCTGCCTTACACATTTTGAATGGTGTGTAAACAGCGTGGATAAGGCTTTGCTGACTCATCGAGATCTGCAGTGCAGCAAGCATAGATACCTCTGAAAAAGAAGAAGTAAGGTACCACAGAGTAATGAGACGCCTGAACACTTTAATTTTACAGGTCTATAGAATTTATGGAAATGTTGAAGCAGTTTCTCGTATGGCTCGACCGGGGGATGGAGACATCATATAGGGGTCTCAGGTACTTGAATGCATCATGAGACTTCCAGTAATGCAATCAACAGCCATTGCTAAGTGATCGTACATGCCTTCATTCACCATTTCATTCCCCTGTTATCCTTGTTCTTTTTCATTGGGTTTTGTGTGGTGTATTTTACTTGCTAGCAAGTAAAATACATCACTTGCTAGCAAGCTGACTTCCCCGCGATGACTCGTGGATGTTTGCTTGCTTGCTATGCTGACGCGCTCTCCACATGCTGCAGCCCCAGAGTTCTCAGTGGCGCACTCTGCCTGCTCTGCCGCAACAGGTTCTCAGGAAAATCGTCTTAGCTCAAAATTGCTTGTGTCCGTTGAGCAAACGCCGCCAACAGCCGAAGACAAAACTGATGGTGAATTATAGATGAGAACGGCAAGTGAATGCTGCTGAGATAGCCCCACCCATAGTTTGATTTGTGGAGATATACGGGTCTACTGGGTATATGCTTACACATTATGACGGCCGCAATGCATTCCTGTGCAATTTTTTTCACAAATGCTTTCGGTGTTATGATCTCCCAGTGGCACTTCAGTTCAAGTCTGCCCATGCATCAGATGACTACTGGACAACCCACTACACGCCGCTGCGAAAATATAGCTGCATTTCCATTCAACTTGTGTTACCACCGCTTCAAGAATGCCTGGCCCACATAAACACCGTGAGAACACAAGACCTCAAAGACCTGTCGAGAGCCCTCACCAAGGCAAAAGACAATGAGTTGACTGAAAGCTTCAAGAAAATTCAAGAGAAGGATCTGGAAAGCCCTACTGCGAAAGCCCTACTGCTATAAACGTTGCAGAAAAGATCTCGTGTGAAGATTCAGCTACATGAAACTGAGCAGAAAGTGCAAATGCGGGAGCGGTACGGCATTAGCACCAGCGGAACAGTACAGCGCTAACTTGATTCACAGTCCCCTACAGTTGCATCTGTAAACATCCCAGCCCAAAGGCACTGTAAAAGTGCAATTTTTTGTCGCTTGTTCAAAGGAATATATAAGGCATTTGTCATGCCGTTGCTCTGCAATATCCCGGACTCGTAATTCCATTCTCACACGGTACGAAATTCAACTGCGGCGCCTTGATCCGGGCTAATTACACAGCTGGACTCAGCCACCACAAAGTGTCAACTGTTGAATCCATTTCGTTTTCCTTTACCACTCTCATCACCAGCTGTGCCCGTTCGTACTTGTGTCGCAATTATGCTTTTACATGTGCATGCTTCATATTGGCAATTGCCTTACCTATTCACATTTGTGGTCGTCCTGGTTTTCCAGATCTGCATCTGCCTACGAGTTTGTCTTGCCTTTCATCCGTTCTGCCATGACTACTATTGCCTTTACTCCGCATGTCCAGCTTCGACCCGTCAACAGGCACATACTACGTTACACAGGCTCCATTTAATAATGCCGCGGCCAGTAATTTCGCGTTTCTACTGTCGACCAAAAGCACGGAGGTACTGTTTCCGGTGCCGACGACCAATCTCGAGCGCAGGAGCGTGACGAAGTGGGATAAAAATCGATACAAATTGGTTTTATTCACCACGTTTGATAATAATAGTTTTTCCCTATAAGGTAATCGGATGGTTAAAGAACAGTAAGATTCTTTTCGTAAGAAGTTGGCCAGAAGAAGCATCTGTAAATGTACAAGAACTGTAGTGAACAGGTGTAGTGAGTCGGCGACTACACTGTTACTACGTATGATCTCGAGCGAGTCTGACTAGGATGAAAGCACTGTAATAATGGTCAACGACTTCAACATCAAAATAATCATGTACAGTTGAGTTCATATTATTGTAAGGCTCAGGAAACCCAGAATAATAGAACTGGTGTTGACCCTTGCTGAGGGTCAATGCCTGAGTTGCGGCACCGGCCTCGCGTCCAGCCCTTTGCCCGGTGCGGGCCGGCTGGCGCGAGTTCCCGTTTATGATTTTCCGCTATCCAGCTGTGCCTTATGCCTTAAGATATTCAATATTATTCATGCCTTAATATATTTAATATTATTCATGCCTTTCGCACTATTAAGCCTCGAGGGATAACGACGAAGGTCAATTGTAGTGCCAGGCACTACAAGAACCCTCCCATGCCGCGAGCGAATGCGACATGCTGCCATTTTTTGGACTCTGCAGCTTGTCTTCACAAATATTAAGCAAATTGTGAGCCAACCTGTCTAGTTCTTTTCAAGTGTTCTATCCGTTTCAGATGTATTGTCCTCGAAGCCCTTCGAGTTGCAGGTCACCATCCGCTCACCCCAAGCCATCATCATCCTATCCGGACCCTGCTACCAGGTGTACCGTTCCCTTTCCTGCTAACAGTTTCACAATGACTCTGATGCACATTTTATATTCTTAAGGGTTTCTAAATAGGAAAATTGTCGTTGCGGAATTCTGCCTCCTTACTCAGGATGATGTGTGCAAATAATGCAGGCGCGCATTGCACACTACAAATAATGCAGGCGCGCATTGTAGTGCACTGCGCCCGCAGCTGCGACTACGTGCTTTCTGTCCCTTGGGCAGGGCCTATAGACTGCACCCTACGCAAGTCCATTTCCTAGAAACTATAGCTATTGCAATTATGAACACAAATTCTTGAGTTTCTCAAAATCTGTCTGTCTGTTTCGCGCCCTCCTGGGAGCTCGCCTCCTAGTCCCTAAGGGAGGGAGGCTTGCCTGGCGCCGGCGCTGTCTCCAGCCCCAGTCTCCACGCAATTCCACGAATTCACGTGTGCATATAAAATAATAATCGATTTCTCTTACTTTTTGTCTGGTAAGAGGGCCCTGTCCTCCTCCAGTCTTGCGACCCCTCGTAGGTCGCTGGCTAGCTATCCTCTCTAAATTTTTATTAGAATATAATAAAAAAATAAATAATTTAAAAAAAATTAGAGCACTAACCAGCCCCATTGTAGTGTCTGTGCACTACATTATCGGTGACTAATTGCGATATATAGTGGGACTGGCGTACCTTTGTGAAACAAATGCGTTAATCAGACGCTCTACTTTCTTTATAAGGAATTACGGATGCTGTGGAGCAGTTCAAGCAAGCTTCTGGGTCACTGGATGCTGAGATCTAGGTGTCAAAAAGGTCCCCACCGGCTCAGTGCAGGCAAACCACAGTCGTTGCGATCAAATCCTACACACTCCAAATCTCCGTTTTCTTAGCCCTTTTGCCTTCCAACCATACGTTTTTGGGCTTAATGTGCTATCATTTAGTCCACAATAGGCTTGCTGTCCCCCAATGAGTAGCGTAGCCTTCTTGGCTTGCTACGCTGGCGTCCTCGGCAGTGCGGTCGCAACATACTTCTCATTGGCGCTCTCCCTCCGCTCTGGTACAAAGGATTCTCATGAGAACTGCCTTGGTACTAATTAACTTATTCCCAGTCAAGAACAGCCTCCCACTGCCGAACACAAAACTAAGGGTGAACAGCAAACGAAAGCTAGTGAATTACGCTATGCTGGCCTCAGCCACAGTGCGGTCTGTGAAGATATGTCGGACTACCGAAGCTGTGCATGCACACAAGGTTTTTCTAATCTAGTGCAATTTAATCCCAAGTGTCATCTTTTTTAATGAATTGCATTCGGATGCTTCAACGCAGGCCGATCCATGTACTCCTAACGGCTATTGGGTGGTCCAATGGGTAAAAGTGCAGCGATGTAATTGTACTTCAATTCAGCTTGTTTTATCTTACCATGTTTAGCGTGCCTGAATATCATAAATACCCTAAGAACGGAAAACCTCGGGGACATGCTGAAAGCCCTCACTGAGGCGGATGACAGTGAAGTGACCGAAAACCTCAAGAAAATCCAAGAGCGCGACCCGGAAGACACCAATGCTCACACAATTGCAATAGAACTTGCGGGTGCCGAGGCATCTACCTGTAATTTGGGAGAAGGTGTGACTTTTGGGCTTTTTGTATCGGCTGCAGTGCAGTGCTAGCTTTACTTTGCGGCACCACGTAAACTGGTTGGCCTTGAAGCGTAGAGGAAAAACTTCCTGGTATCCTTATGCACAAGGGGCTTGTAAAGTGGTTGGAGTGGTGTAGCTCTGCAGTATCCCGGTCTCGTTATTCCATTCGCATTCAACATGAATATCGACTGCAGCGCCTTGATCCGGGCAACTCACACAGCTGGACTTAGCCACCTCAAGCACTAAGTAGTTCACCTCACTTTGTTTCTGTTGACCGGTTTTACAGCATCTCTACCTTTCAGTATGTACCTGTATCGGAGTTCTGTGCTTATTTGAGCGTGCACAAGGTAGCCGTCTTTTCCACGTGTCCCTCCTTTTAACCTGTGATTTTGAAGGTGTACATCCCCAGCGCAAGGTGTCTTTAATGCCGTTGGTTTTAGTGCTTTCGTGTCTTCTATCCGCCTCATGCGGGTTGTGTGCGCTGAGCCTTGGGGACCTTTACGACGTCTTGCCCCCAGCATATTTAGGAGCCTGTTTCGACCATCCCAGCACATCTACCAACATTTGGGGTAAACGTTACAGTATTCATTAGCTTGTCATTTTGTCTTTCTTTTACAAAGATATATACGCCGGCTGCTGCGACCAGAGGAGTCACCAGCGGTCCATGCACCCCATGCACCACCCATCCACACTAAGGGGACCGAAATAGGTAAAAAATTATCCTACATAGAAACCATTAAGGATATAAAAGTCCTATAGTGAGAGGTATTGCGGAGCTGCTGATTTGAAAGAAAATGCCACTCGTGCTAGCGCGGTCCGGTGGGGGTCCAGTAACGGGGTGAGCGCATGGCGACCTGGCAGCTCGGAGGGCTTCGAACACAAAGCCTCCAACGTACACTAAAACAAGCGGCTCAAACTGTTACTTAAAATTCACTTAGCCGAGCTAAAGACCTCAGAAAATGCTCAGACACCATGCACGCTGTCCACCCGCCGTGTAGATCGATGTTCTTCAAGGGGAGTTTTACCTTTACCGATACTTCTACGGGCCGGCTTCTCATTCAAACAATTTCCTGGCCCCTTAAAGAAGCAGGAAGGCTGCTACAGTACCACATAGCTCAGCAACTACTAGCGACACCGGATACTGAGCTGCCTGAATGAACTTACTTGACAAGCCGAGAATTTATTGCGTCGTGTCAAAGAAAAGCTCGTCAACTTCAAGATAACTCATTCGGTTTTATTCACACATGCCTCGTTTCCCACTGCGACGCTTAATGCTTTTGTGGTGCGCACATCAAATCTTGATAATAAACGCCTACCGCTATAAAAATACATGAAGGCACTCTTTGAATACATGAATTGTAACAAAACGCGTAAGCGGCCACGGGCTTTGTTGTGAACCTTCCTGGCTGGCTGAAATCTGTCGTGTTAATTTCTTACACGCATGTGAGCTTTGAGGCATCCAACACAACAGGCATCTGACGGCTTGAAATTATTCTAGGTAAAACCACATGTAGCTATGGAGTGGCCGTATTTGCATTCTAGGGCCCATCTACGTGCATAATGAAGCTCTCAGCCAGAAGGCCTGTTGGCTGCCATGTGCGGTATTGTTTGCTTCACCTAGCCCTTAGGTATAGAAGAGCGCTGTGAAAAAATGACACATGCGCATGTGACGATAGTTGCGCCAAAGAGAGGAAAGATTGTGTGCACTCCTAACAAGGGCCGAGCCAAGCGGAGCGAAAGCTTTCAACGTAAGCTTGGCCAAAGCCCCGTGCAATCCATGCACCCTTTGACGGTTTAGGGTGGACTAAGGTACCATATCATCCTCAGCACCGTTGAAGGGCTCAGCTCATAAAATTATCCTAAACAGCTAATAGCGCAGAAATATGAAGTGAATCCATAAATGCAGGATTTGATTCCAAATCAAGTGACAAATGAAAGCTGCACAACGAATAAAACTTGTATGTGCAGGCAAGAATTTACAACTGCGAACGACAGTAACGTATGGATTTCCTTGAAATTGTGCTCTTCTTATATGCAAGCTTTCTCATCGCTTGTGCTGTTAATAGGAGACATACCTTCATCTACTGCTGGACTAAATGTCCATTGCCGTGAAATGATCGAATAGGAGTCAAGAAAAGTGAAAGCAGTTAAAACATAGCTAGCAGAAATTGCAGATAGTTTTCGATTTAAACGTGACGTATGTTGGAACGCATTGTCATACATTCCTTCGAGAGACTTCCATCGTGCTTTCTACGCTTTAACACGTTGGAGTCGGCTGTTTTGGCACCGTCCACATGAGGCGCTGTTGGCACTGTAAAAAAAAGGCAACATGATTCCTCACTCTTCTTTAATAAAATATCGGAAAGAAGAATCGACGGGTAAGTGCAGTTTCAGGGGTTGAATCCGCGTAACATATTCAGCCTACATGAGAAAAGCATTCCCAGTGCTTTGTCAAGCTTTTAGATATTGGATGTGATGCACCACCGTACAGGCTTCCTTTCCGTATGCAGCCACACTCAACGCCACGTAATGACGGGAGCTTAAGATCGCTATGAAATTTCTTTTGGCGTTCTTTACCGTGTTCAGCTCAACAAAATCAACGCAAGGGAGAAAAGTGCGGCTGTAATGCCAGGAACTGTTATCCACGCTGAGCCCCGCTGTCGCTCTAACAGCGCCTCGTACACATCAGCCCTGCAAAAAGAAATATGCAGTGTTCGGTCTTGAAGTTTGACCAAAGTTTTATGCCCAAATATATGGTCCTTATCATGCTGTATATAACTGTAAGATGGTGATTTAGAGTAATTTTTGTTGAAGGCGAAAATGCGCCTGTAATTAGTATTGAAAAACTTACTCAATTGGCTTCGTTTCATCCTCCTCCAAAGGCTCTATGAAGTAGCAAAATAGAACGTTTTTACCCTGTTCACAGTCTGTAGTGGCGGCACACGCCACTTTCTTCGCCTTAGTGGACACCATTCGCGCAAGATTCTTTGCTGCTAGGTTGTCCAGTGGAGCCTTCCCCATTTTGGCGGCTTCATCCGATGCGTCGTAGTTCGCCCTGCACAAAGAAGCAATCAGTGGTCAGATTAGCGGAGTTAGCACGACAGCTCAGACGAACAGACCAAAACATAGTTCCATGGTAGGCGAGGAGGATCGAGGAAGAAAGAATCTGCCGTGCGTTTGCGTCCCAAAGGGAAGCAAGAAGAAATGAGGCCTGCGCCCCAGCAGAAGTTTCAGGAAAGTGGAATATATGCTTAAGGTGGGAAAGCTAAAGCAAGCGGACTGTTGAAGATGGCTCAGCCCTGCAGTGAAAGACTCATTGATCAGAGCCTCGCAGTCGAACGCCGTAGAATAATCAAAAGTAATTACAAGTCCAGAATACTGCGCACCAACAAAAAACACGCACTATCAACTACACGACGAATGACAGCAATGCGAGATTTAAAGTTACTCTCCTTCTGCAGTCCATAAAAACTTCCAATTGGTGAGTAAATGCACGCAAACTCCTAAGGAGTCGGCGAATAACGGCTTTTTCGAATGCTTCAAGCGAAAATTTGGCGTCGTAAATCTTACCGGTGATGCCGCTGCATTTGTTGCTGCACAGTTTTTATCTTCTCCCGCAAGTTCCACTGCGATTTCGGTGACTTTAGTTTTGTCCCCAAGCTTTTTTGAGGGCTGAAGACTTGAGGTAACATCGTTTTCTTCTGCTTTAGCTAGCTCGCTCAACAAATTATTCAACCCTTCTACTCGAAGTTTATTTAGAACGGGTAAGCACTCTGAGTAGGGACAAATAGGACAAGCCACGCTTCTAGTTGTACTCGCTCGTCTTGAAAATATCCAAAAACAGCGTGGCATTACGTTTGCTGACCAAACCAAAGGCGACAGAAAAATATTCTGGACTACTATTGTGGCAGCACTATATTTTTCTTCACATGAAGGCGCTGATCAATTTGAGAACGCCTACAAAGAACAATGTACCCGAGCCTAGCTCGAAAATCATTGTTCTCCAGTCCACACTCCTAATTTACCGTCAGTCTTGTCATCGGCAGCAGGCGCAGTTCCCGCGTCAGCGAAGGAAGGTAGCCCTATGTCTAGGCTCTTGCCGTGCGGATTAACTGTAGCTGACCAAATTGAGACTGCTGCTGAAAAATTCGGTGCCGTTGCTCCAGCGATGAGCCCGGCGTAGCACGCCAACTGACTGAGTCGAGACATTGAGGAAAAACGCAAGTAACCGAAGGGTCAACAAGAAAAAAGTGGACGAGCGCACGCAGGTCGACAGGCGACGGTATAAAAGTATGCAAATATCGAGGAACAAATGCGTGCTTGCAAAGGGCGCTTGCAAAGGGCAACTAACGGCTCATTGAGGTGACGATCCCAGCTGCAACTAACGGTTCATTGAGGTGACAATCCCAGCTGACAGCTAGAGGGCGGTGTTGTCCCTCCATCTGCGCTAGAATGGGCTAACATTTTGACTCAGTATTCAAATTTGTGTAGCTTCAACACAAAACGTTTGAAGAGTTGGGTGCGCACGCTCTTGCTGGCCTATTGGAGTGAGCAATCATTGAATTAGTTACCATATGCTAGGGAAAGGTGTGTGTGTGTGTGTGTGTGTGTGTTCAACTGTTCACCCACATTGCGAAATGCGATGTTTTAAAGAAACGTAATTATGTCATCTAGCGAGAGGCATATCTTTGTTAATCCCCCACTTTACTTTTCTTTTGCCCGGTGCAGCGAGCAATGTGTGACCTGAGCGACCCCGAATACCCCAGGCTGGTGGGATTTCAAACGCGTTAGGACAAAAGAAACAAAAAGACCGACCTTAATCTGTTGGCGAAATTGGCCATGAACGCCCATGTCTTTTGGCACGCAGTCATAGATCAAATTGCAGCTGAGTCTACGTAGCACAGTTCCACTGTTTGCAGTTCAGCATCAGTTTTATTCACAGGCTTTGAGGCTGTGACTGCTTGATCAAATAATGATCTTGCATTCAGTCCGTTGTGGTGATGATTAATAGGATCCAACTGTCAAAGATTTATTGGGGACTGTCTCTGAAGTGGCCCCTGAGGCTCCTACAGCAGCCCCCCACAGCACGCCAGCAAATCAAGGCGAGACATGCTGAAAAATTGCAAAAACTGAAACACACAAAAAGTGCTTGGAAAAATCCAATGGGAGTAAGAGAACAAAGTGAGGGAAAGAAAGGAAAGGGAAAACGGGAAGAAGCTGCTAGTAGGTGTGCGCGTTCGACACGCAGCTCAAGTTGACGGTCCTCACATACATTGGGACAAGAATATGAGTACGGGCTCACCACTCTCTTTTCGCTGCTTGGTGAAGTCGTGTCTGTTTTGCGTAACTGCTGTGCACTGCCGGGTTTCATCTCCCGAGGCGCTTATTCCAAATGAGACCAGGAAGAGCCGCCCAACCATGCTGCAGCCCATATGGCATGCATTCCGACTCACCGAACAGCAGTAAAATCCCCGCTGGGAAGTTTTCAAAACATTTCTAGTAAGGTGTGATTGGATTTCATCTCCCGAGGCGCTTATTCCAAAGACCAGGAAGAGCAGCCCAGCCATGCTGCAGCCCATGTGGCATGCATTCCAACTCACCGAACAGCAGTAAAATTCCCGCTGGGAAGTTTTCAAAACATTCCTAATAAGGTGTGATTGGAATTTATCTTCCGAGGTGCTTATACCAGGTGAGACCAGGGAGAGCCGCCCAGCCATGCGCAGTCCGTAAAGCACAAATTCCAGCCCACTGAACAGCAGCAAAGCTCCCATTGGAAAGTTTTCGAAACGCCTCTCATAAGGTGTGATTGCTCCTGAATACAGATGCTTTGCGCTGTTTAGAAGAAAACAAAGCACATTCCCGCCATTAGGGCTGAATGTGCTTTGTTTTTGGGGACGCTCTGAGGCTTGCTCCAGCTAAGCTGCATCAGCATTCATTTGAAAAACCTAACCTCTGTATTAAGTCAAAGTTTAAAAGAATCCAGCAGCGGCAGATAACCTGGGGAGTTGACGTTTCAAAGGATGGCCACATGTCGCGGCCATTTGCACGCAAGGAAGGACGTTGCGTTTCTCCTCCTCTGCGACCGGGCCAAAAAGGAATATTCGCAAATTATTGCTATCCTAATCTGGCCTCTCAATACATGACATCATGTTGTAGTTGCCTGCCTCACTACGAAGGACTGTGTCGAAATATTGCACGGAAGGCTGTTGCATCCTCCGTAGGACTGGACCAAGAAGGACTGTTCACATGTTAATGTTATCTTAATTAAGCCTTCCAGTGTCTCGAATTATGTTCTAGTTGCCTGCTTCCGTGCTCAAGACTGTCTGTCAAGATATTGGCTGCCACTGAGCACACTGAGCCTAGACCGCCTACAAAGCTACACTGTTGACAGCCGCGGCATCGATTCCGGTTCTCATACTTTGAACAATGCATTCGGAGCACTTGATTTGGCATGTTCTCGCTTGTTGTGAAATGACAAGAAGCCTGCAGAAATATGTATACGACTGCATTCGTGGAAGCAGCCAGCTCTTGAAGCAGAAGTTTCTGGCTGCCGGAGCCCAAACCGTGGAGTTGGGAAGGTACCATCATGGTCTTCGTAGAGCGGTCAAGCAAACACAAAACCAAGTAAACCCAGAAATCGCATCTCGGAGTCGGGGGCACCCACAGCAGTTTAACTTGAGAACAGACAGGTGCGCTTCATGGTGCCCCCTTAGGCTAGACTACCACAGCATTTGCGTCCTTCCAATATAGTGGTATGCAAGCCGCCACTTTTTTTTCGCGGAACAAAATGGGCTGAAATATGCGTTGAAAAGAGGAAGACGCCTGTCAAGCAAGGGTCGCGCTTTCAAGCCCTGCGAAATCGTTACGGGGGCAGGGGCTTGCATAAACTGGCATATAACGGCCTTTAGCATTCTACAAAGAAACATGTCTCCGTGGAATTTACTTTAGGTATACTGCACCTAAATTTGGGATTTTGAAACCTCCGCCTGAGCCAGGCCCTGAAAGGAAGGAGCAGACAAAACCCTTTGGGCATCACAACCCTTGCACCCACCAAAGCTCCGAGCATATTCGGCTGCTTTTATCTTCCGAATGATGGATAGCATGCCGTGCATGTCGGGAAGTATCATGGAAAGTTATTTTCTCAATAAATGGCAGGTCGCATCGGCTTGCAGTGCCCACTACGCTTTTAGGTATCAGCAAATGGCCGGACTATGGTTGCAAGGGCAGAATGCGCCCTCCTATCTCACTACGGCTTTTCCTAGATTCAGCTTAGCTTTCAGTGATCGCCGAATTATATATGGCGTGGGCCGAGCAGACTTCAGTGTGTCAATCTTCTGGAATAAGAAAAAGCATTCGCATCTGCAGTTGCAAGGTGTGAATTCACGCCGCAAACTTAAATTTAAAACTGCGTTTTGAACGCTTCCAAAGTGGCATAGGCAATGGAAGTGTGCATTTGCTTAAGATGCTACTGTAAGACTTCATGAATTTGTATTACAACTGAAGGCTTGAAGCTTGCCTTCATCGCCTAATGCGGAGGCTTCGTCAAGTTTTGTCACATCAGACTGTTTCAAATCTACATTTTCACAGCGCTATTACCTTTGGCAAACTTCAAAGCCCCGAGAGACGCAGCAAAGCTTATTCTTTCTCTTACGACTGAGTAGCGCGCCTTTAAAGAAGGTGCCGACTACAGACGCATGTTATGTAACATTATCGTAATTTCCGTCCCTGTGCAGCTAAATAGCTTTGTCAGGTGTGTACACGAAACTTCCTGGGCGGCAAGAGTCGTAGCTTGTCGCCTAGCCAATCGCGTGTTTTATATCAACAGACTCTTGAATCGTCACTACGATGCTTGAGCGGGGCTTTGCCGGCTCGTAGGTAGAAGTACATTTCAGAAGAAGCATTTGGGGTGCGAAGTCTAAAATTACATACCATGCAGAATGAGTTCGCTTAATGAGAAGCGGTTTCATTGTTTTCATATGAATACGCGCTACACAGAGTGAAGCTAGGATGAAGACACAGGACAGAATACCGGGAGGGGAAGCCATTCTGCATCCTTGGCGGATGCTCCACTTCTCCAACGGTAAGTGTATACAGTTTGCAGTGTGAAACAGTGCAGTCTTGAAGCCTGCCTCTATATGACTCAGAAATGCCATCCCATGAAATTTGGATAACCTTGGCATTTCCAAATGTCGCGTCTCGTGTTGCTTAACTCAGAAGAATCAAGACGAGAGACAAAAGAGAGTCGGCAGCGCAGAGAATCGAGATGGGCACTGCACCTGTCACCGCTTCCCATAGAGCATTGTAGAGCTCAGCTCTACAAGCGACACGATACAGGTACTCTTGTTATGTCTTGCGTTTTTCACCTGCACTCGAGCGAATTGAGAACTGTGTTCTACCGTTTATGCCGTCGGTGGTCATGCAGTTGACTTAACGCTTACGTGAAAGGCGTATGCCCAGTTTGGAGTGGCTCTATGAAGTAGCAAAATAAAACATTGTGGCCTCCTTCGCAGTCGTTGGTGGCGGCACATGAGACCTTGTGCTTGATATCAGGAACGCGGCATTTCTGGCTGCAACATAATTGAATGAAGCTTCTGAAACATTATATTTGCCTGTCAACGGGTTGGAGTTAGACCTGCGGGACGAAGGCGGCAATGCAGAGCACTATAGTTTTAAAGCACACAGTTTACATAACGTGGCTCACGAGAGAGCGCAAGTTGAGAGACTGTTGGACTTGAAGAAAACTAGATAAACAAGCAACGGGCTCCTTCAAGTGGTCAGTCCGGCTGTGTAAGTAGCCTGAATCAAGGCATCAAAATCGAATTTCGTGTCATGCCCGAATGGAATTGTGAGTCCGGAGTGCTGCAGGGCAACAGCGGAACAATCAATTTCGAAGCCCCTCGTATAAGCATATGAATTCAATTATTCCATTGCATTGCAGCTGTCCAGCTTTTTAGCCGAAAGTGACAGTTGAGTGCACCTACGGTAAATCCCTGCTCGTTGTCTGCCCACTTCCGACTCTTTGGCTAATTTTGTTCCGGGAGTGCACCCTGTAGAAGCTAGCCTCACTGAGCTGCATATATGAGCTCCTTTTGACTTTGTGCATTGTTGCAGCAGGACAGAGTGCAAACTGCTGCGGTGAATCAGTCCATCGAAGTGCTCCTGCTTGCTGTTGACACATTGATCCATTCCCAGCCAATTTTGTTGAAGCTGGTAGAAGCTACATTCAGCGTTCTTACCTGGTCGTAATGCTTGAGACGTGTGCTACAACCCGACTCCATAAGTATTGAATATGTTTGTTACAGAGAATAAATGCGCAATCCGACTTCAAACTACTAAGTGCGCCGAGGCTCTAGAGGTGTTTACAAATTGTCACCTCGTCGTTAGCAATAACTTCCTCTTGCCTTCCAGAAGTTTGCAGGAGAGTGAATTACAAGCAGTTTCTTCTACATTAATGAGAAGAGCTCTCTTGTTGCCTATGTTATTCAAGATTGGGGGTTTTCCCTATCTACTTTTTATTAACCGGATGAAGAAAACGATGAATATTTTAAATGGAAACATCTAGACCATCCGAGTTGCACAAAAAACCTAGGTTGGGACAAATTCTCATGAAAACAACCAAAATAGCGTGTCGAATTCTCAGAACCATGTTGGTAATTGTCCGGTTGAGGCGCTGCTGCCTTCGTAGAGATGAAACAGCCTCATTCTTCATCTTCCTCGGAAAAAAAAACTGGCTTGGACCTTGCAGGTGAAGCGTCAATATGCACGGCAAATTTTTTCCATTGTGCTGTTTAATGCTCGTCTTCTACCCTTAATTCTGAAAGCTATGGTAGTAATGCGGAGCATTTCCAGCGTTCCTTTGCTTGCTTTAATGAATGCGATACGAAGTGAATCTGTATATCACCGCACACGATGCCCTTGTGCAGCTCCACTTGAAGGTGAAGCTCAGATAAAAAAAATATCGTTGCGATGCTTCGATGGACACGTTTCCTCGAGATACGTCGGCGTTAACGCGGAGGGCGAGCAGTAATAGTAGTAATAATAATCAGCGCTGCTGCGTTGCTAGTCGTCGACCGTTTTCAACTCAACATTATCAACGCGAGGGAGAAAAGCGTAGCTGTAATGCCAGGAATTGTGATCGGCGCTAAGCCCCGCTGTCGCTTCAGAAGCGCTTCATACACTTCAGCCCTGCAAAAAAGCAGAACACTCTGCTTGCCAAGTGGGTTCAGTTTCATGCCTATATAGATCGCAAGCCGCAGCGTTAAACAGCAGGCAATCAGCAAGATTCTCCTGTGTAAAATTACTCACTTGATTGGCTGCGCTTCGTCCACTGCTAAGGGCTCTATGAAATAGCAAAACAAGACATTGCTGCCAGCTGCACAGTCTGTTGTGGCGGCGCATGACACTTTTCCCGCTTTAGTTGACACTATAGCCGCGAGATTTTTTGCTGCTGGATTGTCCAGCGGAGCAGTGCCCAATTTATTGGTTGCAGACGACGTCTCGTAGCTCTCTCTGCGCAGAAGCTTGCAATAGCCAGATCAAAACAGTGAGAATAGTAGAGCGGCCAAATAGCAGGAGCGATCAAATTGCAGATACAGTGTATACAGATTGTTGCACAGGGAGTGCGAAACAAAGTTAAACGAAATCACTCTGCTCCATCATCCATGGAGACACATGGATAAACATCGCATGCCGCATGCCTCAGTGAATTTCATAGAAACAGAAACTTTTGTTGGAGAAAATGGCAAAAACGGACTGTTGGAGATGGCTCAGTCCTGCAGCGAAGGATTCCTTGATCAGAGCCTCGCAGTCAAACGCTGTGGAGTGTTGAAAAGTAATTACAAGTCCAGAATACTGTACACAAACGATAGCACAGTTTAGAGCACCGCAAATGGCGGCTAACAAATGCAGGTGAGCAAGACCTCGGACAAATCAGTACAAAGAAGTTAGAGTATTTCGTGTCAATAGGTGGCACCAGAAGTCATACCTTGGACGTATTCGCATCGGCTGCTTCACAGTTCTCTTTGTTCTCCCCCGCGAGCTCTTGTGCAATTTCAACTACGGTTGTTTTCTTATCGCTCTCACTTTTTGTTTGAGGAGATAGACTCGAGCGAACTTCTTCGCTACTTGCTTTGACAAGTTCGCTCAACAATCCGTCTAGCCCTTCCGTTCGCAAGGCATTAAGAACTGGCAAGCATTCTGAATTGGTGCAGAAAACAGACGCCACATTTACAGCGGGTGATACTGCACGCGAACACCTATATAGTATTAAAAGTAAGTGTTCAGAACAAATCAATTACGCGTATAATTGGGGGGCTAACGGTTGTTAAAAGGGGGAGCAAAGAACATGCTATAAGTGCTCATTGCAACAGATGACAGTCCAATCAACGAGTCTTACGGGCATGGTTTGATGACAGTATTGTACCATGTATCTTGGGCTCTAGGACTGTCTACAGACGATATTACATTTAAGGCCAGCGTGCTTGTCATTTCCTTTACATCTACACAACTTACCGTTAGTTACATCATCGGCAGCAGGCGCTGTTCCCAGCTGAGCAAGGGAAGGAGCTTTTATGTCTGGGCTCCCGTGGTGCGGGTTAACAGAGGCAGAGCGAATCGGAACCGCTGCTGAAGAATTTGGTATCGCTGCTCCAGCAAGGAGCCCAGCGTAGCACGCCAAGAGGCCAATGCGAGGCATTGAGGAATAACTTACGGAACCGAAGGGTCCACAGGGGCAAAGTAGACGAGCATACACAGGGCAACAAGTGATGGGATAAAAAAGTGGACAACTGTTGGGGATCGAATGTGTGCGTGCAATTGGCAATTAAGAGCTCATCGAGGTGACAATCCCAGCTGCCAGCTAGACCACGGCGCGGTCCCGCCATCTGAGCCAAGCTATTATTTTGATTGGGTATTCAATTTTATGTAGGTTTAACTGAAAACGTTTGACAAGCTGAGTGTGTGGGCTTTCACGGGTCTATTGATGTGAGTGGTTACGAGTTGCTATCTGGAACGGGAACGCGTGCGTGTGCCTGTTCATCTCTCGCTCACCCGCATTACGAGCTGCGGAAAAACAACAAGGGCAATGTTTCGCCATGTAGCGACAAGCCCATCTCTGCTAATTTCCGATTTTACTTTGCTTTTGCCCGAGAATTCTTCTAGGTGAGTCAAGCAATGTGTAACCTGTGAGACCGGGAAGTCCACAGGGTGGCGGGATCTCGAACACGTTAAGTCAAGCCAAGCACACAGAAGCGCATTAGCCTGTCGATAGAGCTTGCTACGAACGCCCAACTCCCTCCGCTCGTAATCATAAATCAAATCGCGGCTGAACCTACATTAGCACTGTTCCAGTGTTTGCAATTCACCACCAGTTTTGTCCTCCTGTTTAGGAGCCGTGGCTGCTTGACCAAATAATGATCTTTCATTCTGGCTTTTGGAGTGATGATTAACAGTTGCAAATTGACTCGGGACAGTCTCTGACCTGCCTGCTGAGGTTGCTACCGCGAGCTGTTCCCCACAGCACTATCTACAGCACTCCAGCAAATTAATGCAAGATATGCTCGAAAATAGGAAGAACCGAAGCGCGAAAAATGCTTGGCAAACGTCAGTGGGAGTACGCACAAAGGGAAGAGAAGAACCAGAAGGGGAAGCATGAAGAAGCAGCAAGTAATTGTGTGCACGAGATACGACTCATCAAGGTGACAACCCCAACATCCTGGCATTCACTGAGGCAAGAATATGCATAGGACCCCGCCACCTGTTTTCGACTCTTTTTGAAGCACTGTGTGTTTTGTGTAACCGCGTTGTGCTACCATATTTAGTCTTCCGACATTTTTATGCCGCGTGAGACCAGATGGAGCCGCCTGAAGATACTGCGGCTCATGTAGCATACACTCCAGCTCACCGAACAGCGATGAAGCTTCCCACTGAAATGTTTTCAAAAAGTGTTTAAGAAGATATGAGTGCTTCTGAAGGCACGTGTTGTGGGCTCTTTGACCGCAAGGAAAGCATTCACACCATTAGGTTCGCACTGGACTGGTCAGACTATAGGACTTGCTCGAGCTAAGTTGTACTGGCATTCATTTGCAGAATCTAATAGCCAAAATAAGATGAAATATACATGCAACTTGCAGTTGTCATTAACATGAGCAACTGATGGTTCAAAGGGTGGCCACTTGTGCGTGCACGCATGGAGGGCCGTTGCGCCTCTCCTTTCCTACGACGTGACTGTAAAGAACTGTTTGCAAGCCATCTCCTAGTTTCCTGATTGAGCACACAAGATTTCCTGTCGATATACTGGCAAACACTCGGCACGCTGGAGCCTGCACTACTTACGGAGCCATGCTCTTTACAGTGGCGTTCTCAATTGTAACAAAAGATTACGAAAAGCTTAAAATATTTAAGCTTTTCGTAATCTTTTGTTAGATTTGATATTACTTGCACTTTTTTTGTTTCGAAGTGGCCAAAAATTCAGGGTAACGTTTATCACACTGCATTCGTGGGACGAGCCAACCTCTGAATCGGGAATTTTCGACTACTACACGGGGAAGAAAACGGATAGGAAGAAGGAGAGTCAGAACACAGGAAAAGAAGCGATAAAAGTAGACACGAAAAGAGAAGGGACAGGAGGAACCTTAAGGCCGGAAAAAGCAAGCATGGGACAGAAAGAGACAAAAGAAGCAAGGGCACGGGATACAAAAAGTGACAGGAAAGATTAAGAGACAGGCGACGCAAGGAGAGAGCACAAAAGACAGGAAGAGCCAGCCGACACCAAAGAACAGGAAGGAACGAAAGATGAATGACGCAAACACGAATAGGCAGGCGGCAAATTATAATGGGAGAAGGGAAAAGATAAGGAAGTCAGCAAAGAAAGAAAAAGATAGATGGCAAACACGAAAGGACTGGGGACGGAAGGAGACAAGACACAAACATGCGTCGGGGGAAGAAAATAAGACACGAAACGAAAAAAGCTCCAAAGGTTGTCCAGCGAAAAGAATAACATGAGCAGAAATCTTGAAACTATACTGCGCTGTAAAGTGCTGTGTCCTTACATGAGCTGTGATCAGTAAACTATGTTTCAGAATAGAGAAGTGAGACTACGCCAGCGGACGCAGCTTCTCACCAGTTTTTGCTGAGTTGCTTTGGGATACTGCAGATCGCGTTTGCAACCTGGGTGAGCTCAGAACTAGTCCCAGAGAACTCTAAGGTTCGGAACATAATGGTGTTGCACATTGCGCCGTGTCAACATGAGCAAACACAAGCAAGTCGCTCAATAATCTCGAAAACAAAGCGAAATATTGCGAAATACATGCTAGGAGAATTACGGGGTCACAATTTGCAAATATTTCCAGTTCTCTCACGTTAGAAGATTTAAAAGTTGCAACTTCAAAGAAACCTTGTCTTCGGCAAGCTCCAAAGCACCAACAGATGCACCAGAGCATATTCTTTGTCTCTCAACTGAGTGGCACTTCTTAAAAGCAAAAAGCAAACAAAGACTAGAACAGATGCTGTTTAAAATTATCAGAATTTCTGTTTCACTATGGGAGCTTTTGACTTCGCGCAGCTAACAGCTCTGTCAGGTGAGTTGTCAGGTGAGTACAGGAGACACTCTAGGCAGCCAGAGTCGAAGCCTCTCGCCTGGCCGACTGAGTGTTTTTAATAAACTGAGTCTAGAATTTCCGTCATGATCTTCGGAGAGGGTTATGCGCATTCTTAGGTGAAAATGCACTTCAGAGGAGGCACTTGTCTGCGAAATCTAGAGTCACTCAACGAGCCCAGTCAGCTCACTGATGGAAAATACCGTGAGCGGTTTCGTATGGAAATTTGCGATGCGCAGAGAAGTTAATGATATTGATACTAGGCAATCCAAACAGCGCAAGCTGCGAAGTTGTAGTTAGATTTTGTGGGGATAGAAAGATAAAATGCGTCCTTGGCCAAACGTCCTCTTCGTCAAGCATTTGCAGTGGGCAGCAGTGGAGTACAGAAGCCAACCTTTCGATGAGTTATGAATGCCTTACCACGAATTTTTAGAACTTCGACATCTTCACCAGCTACGTTTCAGTTTGTTCCTCAGACTTAGGTCAGAAGGATCAAAGCGACGGAGAAGAGAGCGCCGACAAGGCTGGGGGCCTAGATAGAAGTTGTGCCTGATTCCACTCTTAAGAGAGCATTTTAAAGCTCATTTGTGAAAACCACATGTGGCAATTACCGCTGTTTGGCTTTGGGATTCCGTTGTCCAAGGAACCATGCTTTTCCGGCGAAGCGCATTCTCAAATTAGATCCAGTTCGGAACTTTTAAACCAGTTTTTTCTGCCTTGTGCTTTCTGTTCCCCATATTGTCCTTTTAAGACCAAAGTAAACTGAACATCTATAAATGCGCCAGTCTGGAATGTACGAGAATGCTCTGGCAGCAGACCGAAGAAGAGTAAACACCGCGATTATATATGGGTTGAAATTATAGCGTGAAAACGTCCTGAAAATACCATCACCAAAGATCATATGTATAGTTGTGCACGTCAATGTCAGTACTTCATACTGCCTAAAAGTTCCACGCCCATCGTTATAAGGAGTATGATTGGTATTCGTGTCTTAATGAAGCTGCATCAGATTTTTCAAACATGAAATCGATTATCTTATGCACGATATCGATAAAAAGAACGTGACGAAAATTCGGGCTCAACTCACAAACAGCTGTAATGGAAGTGGCGCTGCGCAGGGCAGTCCGAAATCACATTGCTGGCAGTCAGAACAGGAGCAGCTACAAGAATTGGGCTTTTCCCGCACGTCTCACTGAGTTCTGTTATACCGTAGATAATCTCAAAGTCAAAAGAAGCGTATGCATGTTATTTGCTAAGCTAAACTCTGGGGGACAGGCTTACGGAACAAAGAGAAAGTTCCGGAGGCAACAGTGGGCAAATATGAACAAACTACAGGTATGTATCAGTAGAGGCAAGTGACTGGACCTTCGTTATTGGTGCATGTACTCACGCGCAGATGTTACTAAACACATACATTTATCCACATGCATGAACGTGCACGTGCAAATGATGTGCTTGCATATAAATTTGTGGTTAAAGTGTCGATCCAGAAAGGGCTAAGGCTTGCAATCGCCATGAAAGCGTACAGTTTATTGGGCATCAAAATTTCACCTCGTAATTAGTGACCTAAGACTCACAACTTCGGTGCAATTGAAGTCTAATATGTGGCACTTTTTCGACAGTGGGTTGATGCTCGCTTGTCTCGAAGATGTGTGGATGCAGTTTCACTTCGCAGTATAAGCAACAGTGGAAATTTTGGCCCTCAAGGTACATTGCTTCCAAAGAGCAGCGACTTTTCCAAGACCGCTATGGTTGCCTAGTTTAGCAGTGACCTGATCCACTTCATACCGCGGAGGGTGTTACAAGAACGTAGTGGTAGGGGAACGAACTGCACCGTTCATGGCTCCAAACATCAAAGAATAAGTAAATTATGTGGGCCTCTCGTCAAGTTTGTCATCCTAACTTTTGCTTCTCTTCGCTTAGCTCCTGTTGTGACACTGTTAAAATGCTTTAGTGTACCGTGGGAAGAAGCCGAATCGGAGTAGACAAACACTGCCATGCATGACAGTCAAGAGGCTTGCTGGTTGTGCCCAGTGCCTCTGGTAGCACACGCAGGGGCTCCTTGCTCCGTTGCTTAGTTGTATGGAGTCTAAAATGCAAAGAGATCCGCTTCTTCTCTGCAGACAACATTTTCTGTGGTGCTACTAGCTCGGTAGATGTTGAATTCATTTGAGTAGACCTGCACTGAAATATATACATGCGCAAGAGTGACTATGCGAAGCTTGTATCTGGCTTGGTAAAGTAAATAGGGCCTTTGTAAAAATCTAGTTCAAGTAGCTCTGCATCCGCTGGCATTACAGCACCAGTGGCTGGTCCGATTGCGATGCTTCCAAAAGACCAAAGTGATTTGCAGGCGAACAAAAGTCCATACGAAATGGTCGCAGTCGAAATTATTATAAAGAAACATGCCTCCTGTTATAAGATGCTCTGTTATAAGGTTCAAGGTAAACACTGGTGGGAAAAATCTCGAGGTTCTATGATAGAGAGTCGGTCCGATAAAGCAATAGCAAAAGTAACACGGTTACGCGAGCGTGCACGGCTTGTGGCCTTTTATTGGACTATTAAGCCTGCCTACTTACTTTTCAATGGAAAATGTTGTATGGCCCAGCTCTGTTCAGAAATTTTGTCCTCGGCAGCGTGTGAGGATCCAAGTCACCATCTGGTCACACAATGCCTAACTTCCAAACAACCTTGCTGTGACGAACACAGAATAATGCTTCATCTCAAAAACCTCAAAACATGTTTATTAAAAAGAGGATCCTTATTGCTTATGATTTCTATGTGGAAATATTTCCTGTAACAGCTTTCTGCGCTGTATTCTGGATGGCGTGTGGCTCCTGGGATCTGCGCTCCTGCCGGCGTAAATATCTCTGAGAGGAGAGAAATACGGCGCTACAAAGGAATAAGACTCCAGAATGTTTTTTTCTCAAAGGCATATAAAATTTCTGGAAATGTCGAAGCAATTTCTCGAATGACTGGGTGCTGAGATCGAGGCATTTGTGCTCGTCTGCGCATTGCTTGTCAAACACACACAACATAATCACTAACCGTTGCTATCAAATGATACAGGCCGTCATTCTCTGTTTTTTCTCCTTTCTTCTATTTTTGCCGACTCGTTCGGTTCTACGTGTTCTCACTTTGTTAGTAACAAACCTACTTCCCCACGATGACTCGCGTAGGTTTGATTGCTTGTTATGCCGGCGTGCTCGCAAGTGTGGCCACACCGAAGCTCTCATCAGCGCTTTCCCTTCGCTCTGCCACAGAAAGCTCTCAAGAGAGCCGTGATGGCTTTGCACTATTTATTTCGATTGAACAGACGGCGCCCAAAGCCGACGACAAAACTGATGGTGAACCATGAACGAGAGAAAAAAATGAATGATGCTTACACTGCCATACTTCGATTTGCGGAGATATGCTGGTCTACGGAGGTTGTTCTTAGACATTATGATACCTACAATGCATTCCAGTGCCATTTAACCTCAAAAGTTTTCTGTAGATGGCATTGCAGCGGCGCTTCAATGCATGTCCCTCTATGTGCTCCTTAGTTGGTTACTAGATGGCCCAGTGGGAGCAACTGCGAAGATATGGCCGCTTTGGCATTGAACTCGTGTTATGTTGTTTTCAGAGTGCCTGACAATCATAAACACCATGAGGACGGGAGCTGTCAAAGGCCTGTTAGAAGCCCTAACCAAGGCACAAGACAACGAGGTGACAGAAAGTTTGAAAAAGTTAAAAAAGGAGGGTGAGGAGAATACCACTGCTAAAACGATTGCAGCAAAGCTTGCGGGCACGGATGCAACTACGTGTGACTCGGCAGCAAGCGCAAACGCAGAAACGGTATGACTTCTAGTAAGAGCTATGAGCTACAACACTAGGCGCGCTCAACTATCACTACCCGCTAAAATGGTAGACAGCTGCAGGTCAAGAAGAAATCTGTTTTTATACTTATTCAGGGGGCTTCGAAACTGCTTGCTTTTCCGTTGCTCTGCAGTATCCCGGGCTCGTGATCCCATTTGCATATGACACGAAATTCGATTGCAACGCTTTGATCGAGGAGACTTACACAGCTGGGCTTAGCCACCTCAAGGAGTCCGTCGCTCGTTTTATCTACTTTTTCTTAGCCAGTTTCACAATTTTTGCATCTGCGCTCTCTTGTCTGCCAGCAGCTCAAAAAAGCATGTCTCTTAATTGTTGGACCGTAACCATCATCACCTACGTTTTGCAGATCTCGCTTCGACCCGTCGACAGGCAAATATGATATTAATGAAGTTCCCTTTAATAATGTGGCGGCCAGCAATGTTGCGTTTTTGATGTCAAGCAAGAGCACAAAGGTTTCATGCGCCGCCACCAAAGACTGCACAGGAGGCCACAACATTTTATTCTGCTACTTCGTAGAGCCACTCCAAAATGGGGAAGCGCCTTTCACGTAAGCGGTAAATTACCGGCATGATCAATCAAGAGCACGCTACTTTGTGCGCTGGGATTATAAAGGCTAAGCATTGGTAATTGTATCTTGTCGTTTGCAGAACTGAGCTTTACAATGCTCTCTGGGAAACGGAGACAGGCGCAGCGTCAATCTCGGTTCCCAGCGCTGCTACAGGTCTGTTGTCGCTCGCCTTGATTCTTCTGACTTAAGATGGACGAACAAATTACAGAGCGCCTACTGGAGTTGCAGAGCTTGTGCAGATTTCTTAGGGCGGCATTTCCCAATCCCTAAGACGGCTTCTTCTGAACTCCTTTGCTGCGTGCTTCAAGCGGCTGATAAAGAGCAGCTCTGGCCAAGAACGTAGCGAGAAGGCTTTTCTTCCCGCCACATCTTAGTATCACTTATTTAGCTTGCACTGTAAGAAGTGTCTAGTTTCATCCTCATTAAACTCATTGTGCATCACGCATTTCCATGTAAAAACACTGAAAGTGCTTCCCATTAAATGAGCTAACAGCGCTACCTCTGTGGCTTTTAAACTTCACGCCCAATTCTTCTTCTGAAGCGCGTTTTGGCTTGAGAACGGGCAAAGCCTCGTTCAGGCATCATAGTAGGATTTATAGACTCTATTTACAAAAAGCATCCAATTGGATTGGCCTGCGGCTGCGACTCGTGTGTCCAGAGTTCCCCCTGTATACCTGCCAAAGCTGTTGGCTGCGCAAATACGGGGTTTCCGACAGTTTTGTGTAGTACAAGATCCTAGTGTGCGCTTTCTTCAAGGGCGTGCTGTTCAGTTGCGAAACAAAGAGTATGCTATGCGGCAGCTGCTGCCGAAATTTGCTAAAGTTAGGGATCCTTTGAAAACTTTAGTTTGAAACACTTCGGCCTGAGCGGATCGGTAAAAAGCCTATAAAATATTGACCTGCAGCCACAGTTTTCCTAGCTTGTATTCCGCTATGTGGAGTGTCGACCCAGAGATTTCCTGAGTGACTTGCTTGTATTTGTTCTTGCTGCCACTAACGTACTGTCCAGCCTCAGTTTGTTCCAAGCCTCAGCGCTCTCTGGGACCAATTTCTAGCTCATCTATGCTGCAAAACCGGCATACAGTAGCCCAAACCAATTCAGTAAAAGCTGCTGAGAAGCGGCGATTGGTGGTGTGGCCAAAAGGACCCTGCATCTCCCTATGCGTAAGAATTGTTTGCTTACCACGGCGAAGGTGAGGGTCCTGCACTTTATTTCGCAATGACGAGCCCCGAACGGAGTATTGCAGCAATCTCGAGTGCGCCTCATTCTTACCTAACCTTGAATGAATCTGCACAGGAAAGGAAAACGGTGTGCCGCGGGGCACAGCTTCGCTACAAATTGCATCAAAAGAATAAAAATATTGACAAGGACCTGGGAGTGTGTTTTCTTGAGTAGACTGAATATGCTGTGTGGAAGCAACCGTCGCACCTGCGGTTACCCGTGGATTCTTCTTTCCGAAAAATATGAATGAGCGATCAGGGCTCCTGTTTACAGCGCCAGCAGCGCCTCATGCGGGCCACTCCAAAACAGCCAACAGCGCATGAAATTATGAGTAATGTGTCGGAAAACCCCCAAAAGAATGCTTGACAAATTGTCCCAATGTGCACTACTGTCAGATCAGGAGCTATATGCAGTTTTATCCAGGTACTTTTTAGTTACTTGCCTTCATTTTGACTCCACTTTGGTCAAATTATGGTAGTAGGCATTAGATCCACCAGTAGATGAAGAGGTATATCTTAGAAACAAAGGTAACGAGGGAACCTGCATTCAATATAAGAGTCATGGCACTTGAAATACAATTCGGCGCACACTTTCCGGAAAATTTGTGCGCTACCGTCATTGGTGATCATGCTCTTTTTCCTGAAAATTACGTGTGCTAATTTTCTATATAGATCTGATCTGTCACGTCGACCTTAATTTTAGGTCCAACATTCAGCCAGTTGTTCATAGATGTACTATATATTACATTCGGCGATAAGCCTCTGCACCAGAACTTGCGTGAGGCCACTCTGCACAAGAGACTGGCCTCATCCTATTTCTGGTGTAGCAGAAGACCATGTAGACGGCGGACTAATAATTACACCCGTCGTTATGGCTGTTGTTCTTGCTGCTTACACCCGTGTCTTCGATGCCCTCGCATACTGCGTTGTAACTGTTGCACTTGTTTTGAGGTTGGATGAGGCCAGCCTCTGGTGCAGAGTGACCTCATCCAAGTTCTGGTGCAGCGGCCTGTCGCCGAACACATTTTCAAAACAAAGAAGACGCCCTGGTCTTGTCAGTGAGCAAAGATGAAAACAAACAGCAGGGATTAACCCGCGCATGCTTCTGTATGAGTGCCTATTTCTGCGCCGATATAATATACATGCATGCACACAACATGTGTAGGCACGTACAAATTAGTAAGGAGGCGAGTGCACAGACATGCTTAAGCATCAAATCTCTGTTCACTATGACTTTCCTCAACGTGCAAGCGTCCAGCTTTCAGCAGTTAACCAATGAGATTATATCCGAGAGAAAATCGCTATGCTGGTTCGCCGATGTTGTGCCACCAACGTTTTCATCGTTCTTGTTAATCTGCTCTTTAAAAGCTGGGATGCAACCAAGTCTCATGATTCCAGCGACAACGTAAAGTCATCTGGGCTTCTGCGAGTTACACTGCCTTCAAACAGAACTGAGATTCCCAGCAGCTATTCAGCCCCAGTGGTATAATGCGCTGAGTCTGTTAACGCTGATGATAAATTTAAGTCATCACAGTGCGCCAGAAACCGTCATATGGCGCATGGATTGCACAGCCCTAGGACCAATTCTACGTAGAAAGCTTCCCCTCCTATTGGCTCAGCCCTTGTCAGAAATGCACGCAGTGTTTCATCTCCCCGATGCCCCTGTCGTCACATGTGCATGTGACATGTTTTGCAACGCTCTTATATACCTAATGGGGAACTTGAGCTAGGTCAAACAAGCAATACCGCACACGACAGCCAACAGGCCTGCTGGTTGAGGGTTTCATTAGGCTGATGCATGGGGGCTAATATACGAAAATGGCCACTGATAAGCTACAGACAGCTTTATATACAGGAACTTTAGTTTGCCAGATGCCTATTGCCGTTGGATTCCCCTAAGCTCATGCATGTAAGCAGACAGGACCACATATTTCGGCCCTCCATGAACCTTCACAGCGAAGCCGATGGCCGCTTACGGCCTTTGTTACACTTAATACATTCAAGCAGCATCCTCATGCATTGTTTCAGCTCTAGGTACTTTTTACTGAGATTCGTTGTGCATATCATAAAAGCATTAGGCATCCCAGGCACGCATGAACTAACTCAAACGAGTCGAACGAGTAATCTTTCACTTGCAGAGCTTTTCGTTGACTAAAAGCAATAAATTTTCAGTTTGTTAAATGAGTGCACCCGGCAAGCTCAGCACCCGGCGTGGTTAGTCGCTGCTGAGCTGTGTGGTAGTGGTGCTCGTGCAGTTTGGAATACAGAGGTGTGTCGAGAAGGAACAAGAAATAGCACGAATTAGTTTTATTCAATCACAAATAATAAGCAATATTTCTGCTTTAAAAGGAATCAACTAATCAAGAAGTTAGAAGATTCTTTGGTTGAAATATCGACTAGTAGAAGCATCGGTAAAGGCAGACCAAACCTCTGGGTACGCAAGCGTACGTGGTGTCTGACAATTATTCGGGTTATGCAGATTTCCTACTCGCGCTTTATGCAATTTTTGTGACTTATCTTTTGGCTTATCTGAGGATTTCTATATTTAAAGGCTGTAGAGTCAGCAGGTCACCACGTGCCATGGTGACCTTCACAGGATCGCTCTACCACGAGCAGTATCTTCTTTGAAGTCAGCAGCTTCTCAGTGCCCTCCTTTTAAGAGTATTTTTATATTGTGAAGTTTTCTCAATATAAACTCTTCCTTCGCCGATTCCTGTCCTCTTATTCGTGATGGCTTGTACACGATGCTGGATGGATCGCTGGTGAGTATTCCGGTCACAGCAGCCGGCATATATGTATCTGTGAAGAAAATACAGTATCGGAAAGTGATCAGATATTGTAAAGTTTTGTTTGGAGGTTGATTTATGTGCTGGAACAGTCGGTGCAAGCTCCTGGGCCATTGGATTCTGGGATCGAGACTGTAGTGCCGGGCACTACAATTGACCTTCGTCGCTACACCCGAGACTTACTAACGCGAAAAGCATGAATAATATTGAATATCTTAGGGCATAAGGCACCGTAGGATAGTGGAAAATCATAAGAGAGACCAATGGGCTCGTTAGCCCGCACCGGGTGCGAGGTTGGTCGCGAGGTTTGGTGCCGCGACGCGACTCGGGCACTGACCCTCGGCGAAGGTCAGCTCTCAGTTCTATTATTCTGGGTTTTCTCACCTCATAATAATATGAACTG